GCTCCTCACGCTGCATCCCAAACCGCACAACCCCAGGAACACAGGAGCATGCTGTTGGGTCTGAGAGTGGTGACCATGGTCAATCAAGTTCAGATGAGGTCACATCTTAGCTGGTCTGCAGTGGGTGGAACTCATCACAACATGCCTAAGGATTAAATGTGACGTTAGTGGTCAGCCTACAAGAAGAGCTGTTTTCCACTTGCTTATGCCAACCACCTCACTGTTGTCTCACGTGTTCATCAAGTTCTCAATCATGTTAAAACTGCCATACTCTTTCTTGCAGAAGTGCAGGATTGGACAGAGGAGAGGCAGAATTAGGCGAGAAAATGTGGGGGAGAGAAGACAGATGGAGGCAGATAGAATGAGAGAAGAGAAAACATGGACAGAGGGAGCAAAAGGGAATGAGGCAGAAAGTAAGACAGAGAGTGAGAGCACAGCAGGGGGAGAGTACAGGGCGGAGTGTATCCAGGTTGAGCCCACATCTTTTCTCCGCCTCACTACCGATATGAATCATCAATCAGCAAAGAGAACAAGGAAAGATCAACAAAAATAGTCCGGCAGGGACCACAGCACACCATACAATCGCATCACTCACTGACAAAAGCCCATAGCCTTCTACATCTATCAAGCAACTCTATTCTCTCACTTCTCACTTCCTCCTGTCGCTCCATCTATCCTCAATTCTTTCCCCTCTACCACTCCAGATTCTTTTCTGTTTTCCTCTTGTTTTCCTTATTCATCACTGTCGCTATGGTTGATGTTAGCAAGCCATTATTGAGTCATTTATATCTTCTTCAAGTCATTATACCTCGACCTCAAAAACTCAGTGGAGGTCTTCTGGCAGACACACTGCACACGCTAGTGATGAAAGAGAACACAAGATATTTGAGGTCACATCTGAGAAAGTTAAAGTGAAATACCACAAACTGTTCTCTGCAAACACAGACATGTTGCCACATCACAAAAAAGTGCATTGAAGGTGTGCTACTTTTAACACTCTTGGCATTTAGCGAGGAGCAAAATATCAAATGTTATATTATTGTTATGTTATTTATGTGCCTTATTAAGACTTTAGGTCTGGAGTTCCCCTGTGTGGGTAAGAGGCCACCTGCAAAATGCTTGCCTCAAGTGAAGATTATGTAAATCAAAGCATATCAACCTTCACAAAATGAAAACCTTAACTAATATCTGCCAAAGACACTAAATACAACATGATTTGTTGCATCAAAAATTTAAAGTAATAAATCAGATGCTATCACAGAGTGGAGGGGGAAGTAGGGATGCACCTGCTCCACAGCTTAATTATGTCTACATGTGTCAGTTGGTTTGCTGCCATATAGATGAGAACACAGAAGTCATACAATAATGTGCAAACAAACACACTCAAAATTGTAAAGGTCGGTCCAGGGAAATGTGCTCTTCATTGCTAAAATGACAATAACCATGCACTGCATTAACTTAGTGTAATGAGTAAGCATGCCTAGATTTCCCTGATAACACGTCTGCATGTCAAATACAGTCAAGCATGTAAGTTATATTCAAATCTTATCCTTCAGTTATTGTTATGCAATGATTGACTTGAGAACTGAGATTGTGACACCACAACACTAACTCACATAAATGTCTGTGGTCCATGTTAGATCATTTGAAATATTACAGACATTGTTGGCAGAAAGGATTAAGTCATTGATGCAAGGCATAAGCCATTCCACAACACAAACAGTGTGTGGAGCTGGGGAGATAGATGTGTTGCAGTTAGGGTTAGGGCTATTTGCTTAACTTGTATATCTATGGTATGCATCACAATAGATATCGCAGGATAAGCGGATATTCAATAACTTTGGTTTGTCCTATCTCTGACTCTTTGATAAGAACCTATTGTATGAAAACCAAAATTACAGAGAAATTAAGTTCTAGAAATTATTTGTAACTTCAGGGTCATGCCAGAACCAAGGTCACAGATAGGAATCAGAAGGTCTGCAACCTTTCCAAGAACTGTCTGAGTTTCAATGTAAGAATGTAAGCATAATGTGAAAAAGAACTTGCCAAAGTAACATATAAACCACCCATATATGTTTAAATTCATTTGGTTATTACAGTTGGATAAGCCAAAAGTTTGACGTAAATTAGGCACCTTTTTGAATAATGTTCTACCTTTCAGTATTTTATGTCACACTTTATTCCTGACAGATAAATTAAATCTGAATCTGAAGGAATGTTACTTTTCCCTGATTCTCAAATCAGATCAGAGAACACAATGTTTTGCCCATATACTGTAAATATATTTGACTGGATTTAAAATAAAAAAGGCCCACACTTCTAATACAGTCTGATTTGGCTTAGTGCAATGTTAAACACATGCAAGCCCCTTTCCCACTGGGGTTGTGACCTGTTCCCTCGTCTCTGGCTGGTTAAATATGCAGGTGGGTCTCTGATAGGTTACCTGATCTGCTGGAGTACAGTTACAGTGCTGCATTGTCCTGATCGGGGCAGAAAGATCCACCTACTGTATTAAAGGGTTATATTTCCAAAGACCTTGGCAGCAGACTCACAATGCTCACACACAAGCATATTATTTTCCACATTTTCCAGTTATCTGGAGACGTATTCTATCATGCCCATTTAGAAGTTGTCCTTAACTTTGACTGACAAATAAATATACTTCCATTTTCTCATTCCCTCAGTCACAGTGCCTGCTCTGTTTGGTGATTTCTTAGTCCCATCCTGATGTGAATTGCTTTTAGAGACAAGTGTCTGTGAGATGAAGCTGCTCCTCAGGTCTGGGAGACACCAGTCTGTCTCTGGGGGAGTGGACTATTGTACCAGTCACTGTGATTCATGACGAGACCCCCCCCCCCACACACACACACACATACATGTAGAGGGGTATGAATTGTCAGTAATCATGAGGGAAACTCTGTAAGAAAATGTGGGAATTTTAAATGAGAAGCAGGAAAGCTGAAACAAACTGCTGAAGGGAGATTAAGTAATAATATGAGTGGATGGAAGGGAATGAGGTGAGAAGGGTGATCCTGTGACAATGGTTGTGCTTTCTAGCCGAATGACTGACAGACAGTAAAGGAATGCAGGGCCACACTCAATATCTTTGCTCATCTTCTGATTTGCCCACTTAGTCCAGGAAACCCTAGCCTTTCCCGGGGGTAAATGCCACTTCAATAGCAGGAAAAAAAACGATTCGAGACCGAAGATGAAAGTCCAGCAATCAGCACTGACAGCGTATGTTTTTGTGTGTGTGTTACTGTGTGTGTGTGTGTGTTACTGTGTGTGTGTGTGTGTGTGTGTGTGTGTGTGTTTGTGGTGATCAAGCCTGTCTGATTTGATTACAGGCTGCAGCAGTAGCCTATGAAGAAGAAGAAGACAGGCTACAGAGCACAGTGATGTGCCCAGTGGCAGGAGCACTAAAGTAAATTATATATCATTTCCTTGTTATGCTTCAACCATTTAATGCATTAACATATACATATATATATATATATATATATATATATATATATATCTGGGTCATATTAACAGACAGAGATTCATACACAACACTTGCCCAGTAAAGGGCATTTACTGATTTAAAACAAATAAACAACAACAATTATATGTCTTAAAATATGCATGTGTTATGCATAAACAACTGTATACTATGTAACACCTTGGCACTTAAATTGACATCCTGACCTCAACAGTTGTGACTTACACTGTAGCAGCGATTATATAGATTTAAGTTATGTGTGTAATCTCCATATTTCCCTTTAAGATGTTAAGATAATTTATGATATCAAGGATTCATCGGTTAAGATTGTAGTGGGCACCTGATAAGAGTTAATTAGGGGGGAAAAGCGTAAATTACTGGCTGTGCCAAGTCTCCAGGTCTCTTATTAAGTTATACCTGGCATGTGTGCACATGTGGCAAAAGGACACATGTGCACACATGCGCACTTCTTTAAATGCCAGTTCAGTAGGACACACAAACAAAAACACGTACACACACAAAACCACCTACTGAAAACCAATTCCTTTAAGTATGATGTATTCAGCTAACTGCGAGGGCCAAAATTCCTTGCACATGTATGGACAATTAGCCCTAATTTTGGCCCAAATTGCTTCCTGTAATGATGAGTGGACATAGTTAGCAGGCCACTCTCAACTGCCTAAGAGATCTAAAGTATCAGTTCCAAGTCCAGAGAGTGATGGAGAAAAATGCTAAATGTTTTTAGATTTTAGAAATTTAGAAACTTCAAAGATGAAGAGGAAAAGGCTGCCAGCTTTCTCCAGCCTTCTGACTGAATGACCCACCCACATGTACAAGCCTACGTGTGGACTAAACGAGCCACACGCAGAGACATTTTCTTTCCACCCACTTCAATGTCCTTTAGAGAAACAGAAAGAAACCAAGGCAGAACAAGACAGGATTGTGTACACTTGCACAGTTTCTTTTATGTTCCTGATGTTTTGTATCTGAGAACAGATGCGTTTTCTCTGTTCTCTCAACTACAAAAATGCATCTTTTAATGAATTAGCAAAACATAAAAGCAAGCAAGCAAAGGACTAAACTACAAAAAGGAGAAGTAACAGGAAACACATACACTAACACAGAATCACTTATTAATCCCTGTAAAACCACAGAAAGCTAAAAGCAACTGTTACATCTTATGGTTGTGATCTACAGACTTCTTCACTTTCAGAAAGCCTCATCAATCGGAGGCTGTGTGTAGCTTGTGTGACGGGGTGGCTCGGTGCATCATGGTGAGCGTTTGCATCTGTGTGGGTGTATTTGTGTGTGTTTGTACATCTGTGGATTTTGTTACATTTACATTTACATTTAGCTGACGTTTTTATCCAAAGCAACTTACAATTGCTATACATGTCAGAGGTCACACGCCTCTGGAGCAACTAGGGGTTAAGTGTCTTGCTCAGGGTCACAATGGTGGATGGGTCACAGTGGGGGATCCACATTTTGTATGTCTGTCTGTACATGAGTGTGTACTGACCTCTGTCTGCAGTGTATTGGCGCGTTGCTCCTTGGCGCTGAGCGACTCCTTTAGCACCTCAATGTGTTGCTTGCAGTCTGAGTTCTGATTGGTCAGCGTCTCCAGTTTGGTCTGCAGGGCCTGCATCTCTGCCTCCTTCCTGTTCAGCTCCTGCTTCTGCTGCTCTATCTGACAATCACAGGAACACATGCACACATTTTAGTCATCATTGAGTGGATTGATATACTTGCAGATAACAAAAACCATAAAAGTGAGAAAAAACAGACACACACAAACCACAATCACACCGCCTTTTTCTCTATGAACGGAGCTTTCAGAACAAGTGTTTTGAAAGAACACATTCACTTGAATGCAGCAGGCTTACACATGAGTGAGCAATATGGACAAACATGGTAAAAAAAAATACATTTTTCATTCTTCTAAGTCAAATTGTTTTACTATAATAAAATCTTATAACTTTTTTGGAAGAAAATCTTAAAGATTTGTCATGCTATGACACATTTTGTTAAACTGAACTTTTTATTATTTATTTAGACATGAAATTGTAAACTATAATATCTAAACATGTCAACCGGCCCTACATTTTCAGTCCTCACTCAATGGATTCCCAGGCGTACTGTCTGTTCTATAGACACACCAAGCCAAACAGCCAAAGGGTGAAAAATACATGCAGGCAGACAAAGTTACCGGGAGCAATATTATGCTCACATAGCTGACAGATTACAGATTGTTTTAAGAAAGGCAATACAGAACAGGACCGAAACCCACAATGGAAATCAAATGCACTATCAGAGGGAGGTTTCTGTGCTGAGGCTAGCAATGTGCAGAAGATTGTCATCTGTCTACTGGTGCCAAAAATGCACAAAGCTGATTCAAAGAGAGATTTCTCTAATTGTGTGAGCAGGGTTCACCTCATAGCAAGGGGATTCTGACTGGACCAGAGCTTGGCCAATCAACCCTCACTCATAGGAAAAAAGAGCCTGAGAGAGCAAGGAGAAAGAGGGAGGAATAACAGGAGGCGAAGGGGCCAAATGATGAGGCAGAGGGACTGTGTGAGGCATGATCAGAGAGAGAGACTAATGTGAGGGGTACTTCTGCTTGTTCTGTGATCCAGGGATGTTGGTTGGTGCGGAGGAAGTTGGGAGCTGTTCTGATGGAAGACACACGGGGTGACAAGGCCTGCTCCTACAGAGACACAAAAACAAGAAAACAGAAAGCCACTAAAACCCAGCCAGCTGGGAAAGTTAAGACAGTTGCCCTTCTGGCTGTGGGCTCCTCCACACTCCTCCACACTCCTCCACATTCTGCACTCAACAGCTGAGGCTTCAGAATATTATACTTGGTGACGTTCTGCTAGAAATGATTAAACGGATTAATTATTTCACCTGCTCGAATTTTCATGTTCTCAGAAGCCACTTTCCAGTGTTTGAGTAAATCTAAGCCGAGAGAGGAAACCAGAGAGGACAGGCATGCTGTCTCTTACACACGATGTCACCTCAACACCAGTCACCACCGCTGCCGACAGAGCACAACCCCAAACTCTTCAAGGATATAGAATGAATCTCTGTGCCTGCGCATATCCATGTGAGCAGCGTCTTTCTGTGTTACACAGAAATATGAGACAAGGGGAGAGCGAGCCAGGGCCATCACTGTGATATATATCATCCCAGGTCAGTACAGGTGAGGAGAGAGCTCTTTCCTCTGTCGTTGTAAGCTTGCATTCATCTGTCAGGGCCCCATTCATAAAAACATCTCTTTTATGATTGCATCAGGAACTTCCCTGATGCAATGACAAATGGGCCCTACAAAGAGCACCATTAACGAACCAAAGAGAAACATTTTCACACAGAGTGCTACTCATGGGCCTCAGCCATCACGGACACTGAGCTAGAAAATCTGTGAAACCTGAAACAATGGCTCCAGTACATATGTACATGTGCCTATTCAAATGAATGCATATCAATCTGCGTACTGTTGTGTCCCAATGAATAAACCAGTATGCAGCCTGGGATAGAGAATTCTTACTCAGGCCTTTTCTATAGGCCTTCCTGCCAGCTAAAGGTAGGACAGTAAACAGACACGGTGCACTGTAAGCTGATAGGGCCTGAGTTTGCTCCCTGTGAACAGCCACAGATAGGAGAGCAGTACAATTCTTGGTCATCACACAGGTAGATAGGGCACACAAGCATTGCATGGGAATTATGGAAGCAAACTCTTCACCTCACTCTAAATATGAAATAACAAATACATTTGTTAAGCGTAGGAGTTTTTGGTATCCGTGCAACACAGGAGGCTAAGAGGCTTGATAAAGCAGCCAGAAAACACAACATACTCTAACATGCAGTTGCAGTTTGCACATCTACACTTCTACATGAGAATGCAATGGTGACATGCAACATGCACACAACAACTGTAATTTATGGTTTTTAAGGCAAACAAGCATCACTCCTGTCAAGTTGTCTCAGGTGGCGTGCAGAGACATTCTACCTTAGTCTTCATGAATTTAGAATGGCTCTTGTAGACCTCCACCTGCTTGAGCTCATCCTGCCTCTCGTCAGGGTGCAGCAGGCCGCTGGTCTTTAACATCTGGACCTCATCCTCTAAGTCTCTGATGTTCCTCTCCAGGGAAGAGATCTTGGTGTCCTGCACCGGCAACAGTAGGCAGGCAAAGAGTCAGCAAAGATCTGACTTGAGATATTAAGCTCAGTTAGGGCTTACCTGTCTCACTTTGTTTAGACAATGATCTATCTATCTATTGATCTATCAGTTCATCTCTCTAAAACTGTATGCAAAAAAGCACAAATAGAGGGAGAGCAGGTTAACAAAAACAGTCTCCTCTGAAAGACATTCACAGTGCTGCACTTGTTAGTTCCCATGAAGTGAAATAAATAGCTGTGTAAAGAATAGAGAGAGAAAAGAGAGCTTAAGGGAGAAGATCAAACCCTGGCCTCTTTCTCGCTTTCACTTTACAGCAATTCTCTTACATAGCCCCCCCAATTCCAACATCGGAAAGGAGTCAATTGTTCCGAGGCAGTTGACCATGTGACGAGCTGTTCTGGTGAAGCATACTGGCAGCTTAACCTCATGAAACATTTGCCTGGGTCACTTAAAACAGCACTAACAGCAATTCAGCAAATTCACAAAAAACCTTATAGCGTCCTGTATCTACATAATAGCCTATTAATATGCACCCTTACTTCTGACTAGAATGCCTGCTAAAACAGGGGAAATATCTATGCAGGAAGTTGTGTGCGGCCAAGATGTTTTCCTTTGCAGTATCTATGAGGGAATGGAAGGGTCTGTCATGGACAGGTCCTGAGGTTGTTCAGCTGCATGGGTTCAGACATACATTAAATGCTAAACCTTGGAAGAGAAGAGAAAGGTAATTGAAAAATTGGAAGCAGACTGCATGATGCCATAAGCATAAACCACAGGCAACAACATGCATCTGACCTCTATTACATCCTCTGACATCAGCCCTACCTAGCACATGGTGCTGCATATACCATCCTAAACACACAAACACACATAGTCTGAGCAAACAGGAATGCATAGAGGTACATATTACACACACACACACACACACACAGAAAATACAAAAACGCCCACAAACAGACTATACTATTCAATCATTTCCATTGTTTCACATTGATTTCTATATTATAAGCATTGCTGTGTCTTTAATAACTGACTGGTATCAGTTTCTGCTCCAGAGTGAAGAGGAAAAAAAACATCCCAGAGAAAGAGAAACAAGGCAAGCCCAAAGAAAATACAGAGGATAATATCAAAAACAACATTCAGTGCAATAGCAATAGATGTAAGAAAAGCTGGGCCTCAAAACCACTGAAACATCAACTACTACACACGATGGTGCTGCATTCCAACCCAGGAAGAATTTATGCAAGGGATAGAGGGAAAACACAAACACTGTATATTTGTAGCCCATGTTGAGATGACAGAAGGATCAAGAGGTGAGCAAGCATTACCGTACCTGCCAGATAACATCAGGATCAAAACAGAAAGGGGGGTTGGTGTTCTGTAATCACAAAACGGAAATATACGCCACTTAGAAAAAACAACATCGCAGACACTGGCACAAACAGAGATGGACATTACACATTACACACTCACAGGGCGAAGAACCTACAGAATTTACGCAGTTGCATCAATATTTTGCAACATAAACAGAGGACAGTTTCAAAAAGCCACAATGCAGGGTATTACGTAGCTCGTCCTCATCATCAACATCACCAAAGGAAGACTGGGAAAAGAATGTTACAGTATCTCCACCCCCCATCCCCTTCATTTGTCTAATCCTGTTTGTTTTGCCTTTTCTAATTAATGCAGTCAGATTTAATTTGCTCTCTCTTGTGCATTTACAACACTGTGGGCATCCCGGGCTAGCACATGTGCAGTTTGTTAATAGCCAGACAAATCACAAAGTATGTGTGAAAAATAACTGTGGTTTTGCTGTAAAGGAACCACTTTTGGAACAAGCGTTTGCTGAACGAGCACTAAATGTGTGTGTGTGTGTGTGTGTGTGTGTGTGTGTGTGTGTGTGTGTGTGTGTGTGTGTGTGCATGTACAGGCACATGTGGAGTCAACTGCATTTTTCACAGCTCTAACAACTTCAAAGGGCTGACATGAGAGTGAAAGCTTCCATATGTGACATTTGAAACAAATTGAATAAGTGCTCAACTCTGCATGGGCCCATAATGGCCTTTACTTGGGCATGGCCGCCATACAGACACGAGGCAACAATAAGACAATGCTGTTTGGACTGTTTGGGCATGTATGTTTGTGTCTAGCCAAATCCCCTACTACTGCCAACATTACAGCAGTGATCATCAATAATTAAAGTTTTGTTGGTATGAAGCTGATATCAGACTAAACCAGACAACATGCTGAACCGAAGAGCAACCTACACTGCTCAAAATTACGACATCAGACTTTAGTTCTTAGTATTACTTTTCTTAATGCCTACCACAGTTTAAACTCGCTGTTCTCAAATTTCTTTGCAGAACACATTCTCTACAGCTGGCATTATGAACAGTATAAAAAAAAACACTATTACAGCAATACACTCTATGTAGCATATTATTATGTTGCCTCCTCTTGCTGATTCCAGATCCGCTATGAGTCCTACCTTCATATCAATGACAGTCTGCAGAGCTCTGGTCTTAGCCGGATCGGCCTGAAGCTGGTTTCGGCGATGGAGCTCCTGGGGAGGCACCCGGTAAAAATAAGCCTGGCGGCTCATCATCTTTAGCGTTCTCTAACACCCACAGCTTCAGATAAGATGCACTGATCAGTCTGACCAGTTCCAGTCTCTTTTTTACTAACTTTTTGTATATATTTTGTTAAATATAGCTATGTTATCCTTTATTGTACATCCTTAAAAATTCTTGTTTTGCAAAAGAACTCAAATAAAACACGTTCCTATGATCTTTAAGCCGGTCCACGTTGGATGCTCTCCCAAGGATTTCTTTCTGTCTCTAACAGCAGGTGCTGGTGTCTTTTTCCTCTGCTCTCTCTTTTTCTGTCTTTCTGTCTGTCTTCATTAGTAGGTGGGAGATAGGAAATAGATAGGTCATATCGATCTGTCTCTATCACTCTTTCCGTCTCTATCTTTCTGTTTCTCACTGGTTATCTCTGTCTCTCTCGCAGATGTCTCTGGCATGCTAAAGCTCTTGCTTAGCAACACTTTCTGCCAGCACATGCGCTACGCTTCTTCTATCAATAATTAATGGTGGCTGTGACCTACAACTATGCCCACACAAAAGTGCACATATCGACACACAGCAAGTTAAATAAAGGCACTTGTTGAACTGAAAAAAACTGCACATATGAGGACAAGTCCATTTGGAAGAAAGAACAAAATTACGATCTAATGATTTTCAACTATACCGAGAATAAGCCCTGCAATAAATGGATAGCATTTGAAATTAACACAGTATCTAAAACCTAAATTGACAATTTCATGGTTGTGTTATGTTGTTGTGCTATGTTGTATGTCTGCCACACTTGCGTATGTAAATGGGGTGGACAAGACACCTTCAACATAATGATGTCAAATACAAAATCGGCAATTACAAATTCCTCAAAAATGAGCACAGAGCTAAATCAACACCTCTGAAGTGAAGCCAGTTAGCCAGTTCAGGCATCCCTGCTGTAAGCTCTGACTCTTCTCTCAAGGGAAAGATATCTGCTATCACAACAGCTATCACATTTCTGTGCGGGTGTGTGAGTATGTGCGTGTTGTATTTTCATTTAAATGAACTCCTATGTTTTTTGACAGACTGAACTGCACATTCTAAACTTTGTATAAACCTTTATTTAACCAGGCAAGTATCACTGAGAGCAAGGTTCTCTTTGTCACGAACAGTCTGTTCACACCCACACAGCCACACACATTCATACCCAAAAGCCGCCCAGCACAACCACTGACTGATCTGCTGGCCACCAAGCAGCTCCACTGGAGCAGTTGAGGGTTAGGGGCACTTCAGTTGTGGTAATGAGGGAGTGGCTCTTGCTCAGTGATCTCAGTGGTGGTAAGAGCTGCTCTTTCAATCCCCACCCATATTTGTCTTTATTGGACCACTGGCTTGTGACCTGCAGGCTTGTCAAAACTTCAGACCGCCACTTCCAGCTTATATACGCACTGACTAATGAAATGTGTATATGTATAAAAAGTAGCACCTCTACTGAAAATGAACAAATCTGAGTTACGCTTGGGCAGTATTTATTTTTTCAGAGCTTCATACTTTCCTGACTTTTCAAAATGGTATATGTAATATATGACGGTATTAGTGTAAAAACATAATAAAACTTGTAAAATAAACGTAAAAGCTGCAAGTGATAGAAGTCACTGCATGAGCATTTATGAAATTGTCTAGCCTAATGCTGTGTGTCTACTATGCAATTAGCCTACTTAGTTCACATACTTATGGCCTATGGAATAATCAATAGATAGGAAATAAGAACCCTTCTTATATAGGTTCTTTCTGTAGAACCCGATGACACTTGTTGTTGCCATGGCGCACATCAACACATCAGTGGGTTGAACGAAGAAGATGCGCACACAGCTTCGTCCGTGTTGGCTGGCTCACCTTTATCATTGGGGCTAAAGTAAAAATACACCCAAACAGGGGCAGAGGCCTATTTCTTGTTTGCTAGTCCGTTGACATTTTGCCCACCCCTGGCAATCGCTGATGAATTTGTGTGTGTAATGAAATACACATGCAGAATTTTGTCAGAGAAAAGGGCTGTAGCTAAAGCTCCTGTGTGTTTTTTTACCAGTGTTGGGAGTAAAGCGTTACAAAAGTAATCTTATTACAGTAATGTATTGCTTTTTGCTGCAAAATAGTAATTGTTAATTACTTATTTATTATACCCGTTACAATCTAAGTAGCGCGCGTTACAACGTATTTTAACACGAAATTAAGTGGTGTTTTGTTGTTTCGATAATTTACCAACACCGCAAAACATTTTGGGACCAGAAAAAAAATCTGTGACATTATTTCCTGTTGCTGGAATTCAATGGTTGAGATTGTAGGCAGGGTTCAAACTACAGTGAAGTTAGGCTCCTCTTAACAAGAAAACATGATTTGTGAAATTTTGGGGGTGTCTCTAAAATATTGACAATATGCTATTTTTGCCATGTTTTCTTTACTTTCATGATTACAGAAGCTGCTTTCAGTGCATCTTGACCGTAAATGCGTAAATATGCACAGCGTCTTTCTCAATGGGGAGACGATTCATCCTATTTCACCCATCTACAACCCATTAATCAGAATGCTCATTTTTATGACAAAGACCCACCCACTCCATGGATATAAGTGTGATCTGCACATTACTTGAACTCAACTATGCAGGCACATCTTACTATCTGAATAATGCACCCTTTAATTAGCAGTGAAAGTAACTCAAAAGTAGTGCAAAGCATTACAATTCAGAGATATAATAGAGTAATACTGTAATATAACTAATTACACTCAAATGACAGTAACTAGTAATCTATAATGTATTATCTATAATATTTTGGAAGTAACTTGCCCAAAACTGGTTGTTTCCAACTGCTATAAAAGTGAAGGGGGTTATCACGTTGCCGAAGATGTCAGGCAGTTTCATGCGGCATCGTCCGCATATAATGAGGGTGTACACTACAGTATATCAGATGAATACAGCATGTCCGTGTCAGTTTAACAGAAAGAGGAGCGTTGCACAGTCAGGATTTCTAGATACCCTGGTATAACGTAATACCTTGATACTCAACTAATGTGCAGTACTCTGGTTTACTCTGTCCCAACTGCAGTTTTAAGGATTTTAATCCATTCCACCTCAACACTGTCAGTGCTGATTATTATTACTACTATTTGTTCTTTACACTTCTGTCACATAACTGTGAAATAATGTACATATTTTGACACTCATGTTTTTATTTATATATTCACAGTTAGATTTGTATGTTTTCTTTATATTTTCTACTTAACAACAAACAAGAACTTCCCCTCGTGTTTCTGATTCTGATTCAGATACCACCCAAGCTTAGTTTGAGTGTCAAATACAGGGACAGCTACACTAACCAAGGGCAGGACAAAAGGACAGAGAATACTATCAAAGATAAAACTGGCAGTGACAGTCAGTGGGTAAAGAAAAGCCACTAAATCAGACAGAAACCACACGGAGATGGGTAATTCATATTAAGGCAGCACATCAGTCAGAGGACATGAAGAAGTTTAGAAAAGCATGAATAGATATACAGGGAGAGGCAACAGGTCGCCATGATTTCCCATTGCTCCCGTTCGTCCCAGTTCTCCCAGTGCATTGCAATGAGAGGAGACAAGGGCCTTATCCTCTTGTCCACGTCAACTGTGGATAAGGAGGGATTACTGCTGTCAGAACATGCCTTTCACAGAGCAGCATGCAAAGTGTAGCCACAACCATAATCTTCTACTGACCATATGTGTATTAATGTGTCACTGTGAGTGTGTGCCTGTCTATTTGTCCCACATGCACTATTTTAAGTATCTATATGTCCTGTGGAGAGAGTGTGTGGATCAACTCCTTATCAACAACAGTTAGAGTACAGTTAAGAGTACAATGGGAGAAATTAAGTCATGCAAGAGAGCATGTCATCAAAGACCGTCTTCTCTGCTCCACATGTGGCAGAGGACCGAGCATATGGAATGAATAGGATCAAACGTAACACTATAGCAATAAGTGCCGGCATCCTGAATGAAGGATACGGTCAAAAGGTTCAATTCTAGCCTGAAGGCAATGGTGTCATATATGCCAAGCGAGGACTAGAACATGCACACATCCTACATAGACACACACACACACATACTCACCCACACATTCATCAATCACATTCCCATCCCTTCTCCATCAGTGAGAGAAAAAGGAAACACATTTGCTTGCCACAAATGAGAAAATGTGTCCGCCTATCAGCTCAGTGGCTTAAAAGAGCAGTTGGAAAAGACAAAGGGAAAATCAGAGGGAAAGGCTTGCCAAGAAATAGGGAGGGGTGGAAGGGGGTGAGGAGAAGGTTTGAGAGGTGTAATTTTGTCCCGATAAACTTTCCCGCTCAAACATTCTGGGCAATCAACAGAGCGTGGAGACTATGTGGTGTGGTGGGGAGAAGGGGCATTGGTGTGTGTTTGTGTGTTTGCTGATGCTATTTACAGTGGTCTTCTAATGTTAGTTGAGAGGCTCGTTCACGATTGGAGGTTAAAAGTAGCCAAACAAGCATGGAGCCCTAAAAAGCCCCACCCGGGACAGGGGCTTTTCACTAAACCAAATCACAACAGATATATATGTCGGCCTGGGGAGAAAGAAAGAGAGAGTGGGAAATGTTGTTGCGCCGACAAACATACAGTATACAGCTAGAAAGGCAGATGAGAGAGGGCAGAGGAGAAGGCGTCAAAATGTTGCAGGTAGTGGGCATGAGAAAGCGAGAAAAAGCAGGAAAGAGATCACAAAAAAGACAGATTTGCTGATATGAACTTCCACATCTCCTCAGCATGCTGGCACTAGAAAGTTTTTAAAAAGCTACTTTTCAAGAGTTTCATCAATGTTTGAGAGAGGCTGCGGGGGCAGACGGAGAGGGTCTGCCAAAAACAGCAGCAAGACTTCTGAAGCCAGTCATCCTATAGAATACTGGGGAGTCATAAGTGCATTGTCCTTACGTTCTCAACACTAGAGCAATGATACATACTCAGTCCATACTGACTCGGGACCATAAGGACCATATGAAATCTGCAGTACGATATGCATGAAAGTAGATATGCCATCTCCAAGTTAAAAATCTCACAGTGAGAGTGTGCATGTGTGTGTGCACGCCTTGGCAGCAGGTCAGACCTGGGCAGGAACAGACCAGTGGTGCGGCTGTTATTATTGGGTCTACTGGGACCTGGCGGCTGGGGAGAGACGATTAGGCCCAGATTTATGCCTCTCAGCGTGTGTGTGTGTGTGTGTGTGTGTGTGTGTGTGTGTGTGTGTGTGTGTGTGTGTGTGTGTGTGTGTGCCATCACACATAACTTTACTCACAGTTTATGCATGTAAATTCTAATGGAACACTGCCACAATGTGGACATTGCTAGTACTGCAATAATCAATGTTTGCCAGGCAACATTATGGAGGAGAGGCTGTTTGAAAAGAACTCAAACACATTACTTAATGTATGGCTTTCACATTATGCTATGTGATGTTGACCAGTCAAGTGTAATAATTTTATCTCAAGAGCCAAGTCAATAGGCTGACATACATGTGCCAGTGTTTCTACGTCGAGTCTGTGCAGCTAAGACAGTCTGACAGCTGACAACGTTGAACAGGAAACATAAGCGAGAGAGCACCACTACACACACCATCCCCTGACAACACACATCAGCAGGTGAAGGAGTGATGAAGCTCTATATCCATACAAACTGCACACCAGCATACACACATAACCACAGACAGCTGGAGAAAATAACTTCACATCTGGCCATGGTATGTCAGTCCTTATGGTAAAACAGAGAGAGAAAGGGGAGATTTTAAATCCTCTGTGAACTTGTACTCAATTCTGATTTGCATCATAGAAACCTACATAGGTTTGTGCATTTTCACACCCATCCTAACCCTTCGTTACATAAAATCTTAATATAAGATAATATACACACAAATTTAAGGTAAAGAATATATCTTCAAACCAGCAAAGACTACCAAGCCCCCGTGCCAACCCTTAGCCATGTTAGTTTGAAGGGTAAATAAAAGCAGAAGTGAACTTAAAATGGAGGCATTTATTATCCCGGCTCAAGCTAAACAAGGTGGGTCATTTAAAGGAGAGTAATGGGCTCGGCAATGAAAGGCAGTTGGGCTGGTTTCCTTCAGAGCTAATCAAAAAATAAAGAGTAGTGCCCCCTAATAGAGGCAATAGTTGCACCGCCATCATCAGTTTGCCTTCACTAACCATGACAAGTGCAAGTGTAAGGCAGTGTAAGTGTAAATTACCACTTTGACACATAAACAAAGGCAAGAGACCTTCACAGGAAGTAGGCGGCTTCATGCATAGAAATCCTTCAATTACTCCCAACATTCAGATTCCACACCAACCACATAAACTGTCAGACCACTTGACTACTCTTCACCAGTGTTTTTGAAAACCCTAAAATTGTGTCTGATTAAACTGGTTCCAATTCTCATAATTCAGACATTTATTAAGAGACTGTTTTTTTGTTATTTATTTCACTGCCATTTTTGTTGCACTTAAAACAACTTTGTCAGTGAAGCTAGACAACGCATTTTACGCATATATTGATTTTGGGGACTAGCTTGGTATTATTATTAAACAATTATATAGCACAGTCTTAAATAGTAATATTATCATCTGAAGCATGTGATTTTCAATCACCACAATGAAAATACTTTTAGCAAGGCTTTTAGTTCAGCTTAAAAACTGAAAACTGAATGCTATACTTAAACTGTAATCAGTTCAGCTGTATATACATGCACAAACACACACACACACACACACACACACACAGACTCCATCACCCCATCTCAACCTCAGAGGAGAGGAGGCCAGAAGGGAAAAAACGAAAGAACAACAATCACCTCTCTTTTCAATCAGGGTGGTTAGAGTGTTTTCCCTCATTAATCATACATTAATATTCAGACAAACACAGTCTGTTTTTCTACCTTAGATAAACACTCCTTTTTCCCATCTCTCCCTCTCTCACCTCACCTCTCAGACCCAGTCACCCCCTCCTCCTCCATTACACCCACAGTATGTGTTAAGCTGTCAAGCAGTTAAAAATAGCACAGCACACAGAGTGTGTGTGAACAGGTACTCACCTCTTACACACACAGCATGGTTTGGTCCCATATATTACACAGAGACACACACACAAGTACACACATGCACCGCCGCGGTTACATTAGCATGGACTGAAACACCCACGCCTCCCCTCTGTCAAAATCATCACAGTGACCAAACACCCGGCATGGGTGGATATCCTATCAGCCACCGGGAGCCCAGCAAGGGAGTGTCCTCGCTAGAAACCTGCTAGAAACGCTAAGCCGACAGGCCCAGATGTGCACGCATGCTCTCACACACACATACACACACACACACACACACACACACACAAGCAATCATTCTGACTGGGAATAGCAGACAAAGAGGCAGACAAACAACACAGTCAGAAAAACAATAACATTGAGACACAAACAACAGCAGAGGCATGCACAAACATGCAACACAGGAACACACAGAGGTAGAGAAATTAAAGGCTAAGAAGATTTAGGAGTTAAAAATAAACAAGGCAGGAGTAAGGAGCAGAGAACAGCCTACTGCTAGCCCTCCTGGCAGAGGATATAGAGACACCTGTGCTACACCACCGCTCACCGGAGGGCTGGTACTTTTAAATTCTCAATCAGTAAAATCCAGACTGAGGAAGACAGAAAAAAATGGAAAAAGTGAGGTATGAGCATACCAATACCAAATAATTCTGCTAGAATTCGGCTTTTAACTAAAAATTTTTGATGGGCTGTAATAAATTCTCCTCCTAATATAATAATGTTTAATGTCCACTGTACAACAGGCTCACTGCATGCTGTAGAATAAACGCTAAATGCTATGCACAAAGCACAGACAAGGTGCATATGAGCATGTGCATACCCAGGACCACATGCACACACACACCTACACTTACACACACAATTTACACAAAGCAACTGAGTCAGATTGTAAAACTGCATGGCTGAACACAGGCTTAGAGCTCTCCGTATGTTAATCTGGCCCATTGATAAGACCTGCTGAGCTGCTGGTCCCACACTCTACATAATACAGACATTCATAGGTACACACACACGCACACACACACACACGCACGCAAAGTGTAAACATATAATGTACATACAAAATGCATACACAGCCAAATGTTATTAATTAATCATCTACAAGGAAAAAAGATATCACTCTAACCATAAAAAACATAAACCATTGCATATCGTGTGTATATATAATTATATAATATAATTAATATATAATGTGTATATAATGTGTGTTCCTTTTACTTTATTGTGTGCTGTCCAAATATTTGGACAAATTATATTTTGATGCTTTGGCAACATTGTTCTTGAAACTTTAAAGCCAATTCAGCCCTTTGAAATGAACTGAAGTGAATATATCACTAAATCTGTTTTGTATTAAAAGTCACATGCCATCTCAGTGTTTTTAACTAGCCATCTTGCACTAGACTGTATAATGCTATGTCAAAGTAGAAGTCATTTTTTAGCTCTCAAGATTCTCCAAAACCATTCCGGGTAAAATCGGACATTGAAATTGTTCTGTTTTTTATTACAGGCAACACAATTGTGTACTATGAGTCGCAATATAAAAAACTCACATGATCCTATCAAAGTGACAGATGTAGATATAACGACATATTGCCCAGCCCTACTGTTAAAATGACTTTGATACTATAGATGAAAGGTTCAGCTACATAATCATTCACCCCCAGGGAAGAAAAACACACCTCTCTCACATGCATGTTCTCCAGGTGAGCTTCAGCCTCCTGCGCTGCCATGGTTATGATGCCTGGCCGCTGTCCCCGACCCCAGTGTCCCTGACTTTGTCCTTGGCCCTGAAGCATCTCCAGCAGCCTCTGGATGCTCTCATCCCGGGCGCCCAGCGTCTGCTTCTGAGAGTCGATTCTCATCTCCATCTCTTCCATAGTCTTCCTCAGCAGGGACAGCTCCTTGGCCTGCCGCTCATGCTCCGACTGCAGCCGGAAGAAATTCTCCTCTGATGGATCCAGAGGATGAGATGAGGACACACCGTCACACCCAGGCACCTGGCAGGGGCTGCAGGCCCGGAGTGAACTAGAGCTTGGCGCTACCACCGGACCCTGGCTAGAATTGTAGTGGGACTGATTTTGGCTGTTCCTCGGCCCAGACTGAAGGGTGTTGGCTGGGCTGATTCTCTGCGAAGCTACTGCAGTGTTACAGCCATAACCAGGGCTGTGAATGATGACATCAGCTTCCTGTTGTCTCGGATTGTAAGTGCTGGATGGGCTGGCTCTCGGGCTGTTCTTCGGCCCAGGACTGTGCAGGCTGCTGGGGCTTTGTCTGGGGCTGTGGCCAGGGCTAAGCCCCGTTCTGTGGTCCTGGTCTGCATGGAGTTCTCGATAGGAGCCAGAGTTCCCTTGCTGCCGTTGTTGCTGCAAGCGACTGTTCTCCCTGTGAGCCCTCAGCTCCTCCTGAAGCTCCTGAACGGTCAATGGAAGCTGCTACAAAAACAGAAAACAATTAAGCACCTATTTATTCGATAAGCACGCAAGCAAGCAAAACACTCAGAACCATAATAAAAATTCCTAAGCACACGATGACAAAACAACAAATATACAGTGGTACATAAAACAGACCTTGTTTCTTCTGATATCCCCTGGCTGCAGCAGAGAGATGCAACATAAGAAAGACACACACATGCATAAAGCCAAAATAGAAAGCAGATTTTTTAAAATATACCGCTAAATATAAAACCTTTATGTATTTTATTTCAAGCTGCTGGGTAATGGTTACATGCTTTGGCCACCAGGAGGTGACATTTCTCTTCAAAACAGAGGGAGAATACATACACTGTAAGCAACAGATACTTTGGTTAGTTTGCAGCAAGCTAAAAATGTATGGATAAAGGGATAAAGGGATCTTTTGGATTTATTTCATCTGGAATGTTATTCCAGATGCAATGAGAATGAACACAATCACAATTAGAGCGACGGTTACTGGCCTACATGCAATGAGCCCCTCGGGGGCCAAATTGTGCCACTCAATAATCAACCCTGATAAATAAACTTACATATCAATAATTAATTAAGGACACGATTAAGAAATTTCAAACCAGTTGGCAGAGGTGTAAAACAGAATAATCAAGAGGTTGTTCCTTCATAAATTATACTATTACTCAAATCATCTCTCTGCCTTGAATACATTTTAAGGGCTTAAACAGTGTTTGTCTGCACAATGTGAGTTTGTAAACTGATCAGTGCATGAGCAAGACTGAAGAGGTTTACTGAAGCTGACTGATTTGTCAAAAAATGTATCACTCAAACTACTGATTGCTAAGTGACACAAACGGGTCCCTCGCTAGAGTGTTGTTGGGGACACAGTTGCAGTGCAAATTAATGCAAACTACAACATGCTAATTTACATTCACAGCTCTCAGCTTTCCCGACTGGCAAATGAAAATTCATTCTGTGCTTGAAATCATGGGCAGAGAGCATTCTTGATGATTGACTGAGCAGGGTAAGAAAAAGGCTGTGAGGAAATCAAACAAAATCTATAAAAAAACAGAAACACACACACACAGGACATCTTACTCAACATACAGTATTGTCAAATATTCATTGACACAAACACTGAACAGAAGTGAAATTACTATTCGTTCCATCTGTGAGAAGATATTACTAATTTTTCCTCAAATATTCGTACTCCTCTGCTCAAGTCCAGAAGGTGGAGAGCGCCAAGGACACAGAGTTGAGATGTAGGAGGAAAGGCGAGAGTGAACATGGATAATCAATGCAAGAAGCTAGCACTGAATATCAAGTCAGAGTGGGTGGACAATTCTCCACACACACACACACACACACACACACAAGACTGTAGACACAAATACATATGTACAAGTGTACACACGCATAGACACACACACACACACACACACACACACACACATACACCAAACAAACAGATGGTTAGGGGACAACTCTGGTCACTGAAGCTGAGAGAAAAGGTGACATTCCTTATGCTAATTCCAAAGTTCTCTTGTCAGACTGAAGTCTTCCAAAAGTGGGGGCAAAAAACAAGGGACATACAGAGGGGAAAAAAAGAGGAGAAATGTGATGGGGGATAGAGGTGATAAGGGAGAGTGCGGGGACAGCAGATAAGAGTTAGAAGAACATCTTCTGCATGAGGTATAGTTTTTTTTCAAAATAAACAGGCCATTGAAACAATCTGGGCTTTTATCTGATTGTATATATGATAGGGCTGTAAACACTGTGAGAGAAAGATACGCCTAAAGTTAAGCAACAAAAAGGGGGTTGGTGACAATTTAATGAGAGATCAATATTGCTGACAAAGTTGCGATCGTTATCAGCTGGAGCTGAACTAGCCTTATGTGTGTGTGTCAGTAAGGGAGGGAGAGAAAGACAGAGACAAAAAGAAAGTAAGAGAAGGAGTAATATAATGCTGTATAATGTGTTTTGCTAGCAAGATGTACAAGCTAAGGTAAAGCAAAATGTCCTACTTGGTTACAGCAACAACAGAATTGAATGACAATTTCGACTGAAATAGGACACATCAATAGTGGGTGTATGGCAGATTGATTTTCAGTAGGAACTCTTATTAATCATGCTAGAAACATTGAAGATGGTGTGAATTAATATGCTGTTAAATGGGAGTGATCAAGGACAATCTAATTCAGCATGTGGAAAAACTGATAAATCAGCATACATTGTTATTCAGATGACTTTTGGGGGGGCAGGACGACGTGTGCACAACATATTTTCTTCATATTTGTCTAATGGTGGCTTTTCTGTTGCAGCTGTTCCTCACGATTTTTAAATGGATTCTACGGTGCCAGTTTTCAATTGTGATTAATAAAAACAAACTAATTCTGCTTCTAGTAGCAGCCTTTTATATTTGAGTATAAAATATCAACATTCTCATATTCTCTACAACACTGCTTTCATTCTCATAAGGGTGAATAAGGGCTCTCATAAGGTACATAAGGGTACAGATAAAGTACTGTAAGTGATTTCAGTAGATAAACGAAGATAAAAGAAGAAAGGGATGGAGGTAAAGTAGAACTGAAGAAAAGTAATACACTAGTTGTACGGGTCTGTCACCTGAAAAGGCAGAACAGTGACACATACATCTATCATAGACAGGCCAAGTCAGGACAAGCCTGCAGGTACACATAGACTGGTAACATTGACTGTCCTGCTCCATTTAAACACACTTATTGTCTATAAACATTTCTGAAATCTGGCAGTTTTGTGGGAGGTAAAAGTAGTGTGTGGATCTCTTTGTGTACCTGTATGTGAGTGCATGTGGCTTTTTCTTAAAGAAGATAATGATGAGTGGTAAATGAAAACGTGTATTAACCAAAACTCGTTAAAGCTGTACAGCCAATTGTTATTGGCCTGTACAAACAACAAGTTATTATGCATTAAATTTAAAATTTCTGTAATGTTGTATGAAAGTGTGTGCGTGGGCATGTGTGTGTCACAGTGTCCTCACACTGTATGACAATGTGAGATGAAAAAGCTATAAATACAAATGCAGAGGTGGCTCCTTGGTTACAAGAGGGAGGAGTCAGAAAGGAGAGTACAGATATGATTAAAGTTTTTGCATGCTTGCATGAGAGAGAGGAAGAGCATAGAGAGAGCAAGTAAGAGATTCAACAGAAATTATACAAGATGTAAAGTGCGAAAGATTCTCTCAGCGGGGTGAAAAAAAATCTTCCTCCAGAGTAACACAGACAGATGAGGAGGTAAAATGCTGCGCAGACAAGTGGAGAAACAAAGCAAGATAGGAAACAGAAGAAACATAGACAACAAAAGAACAGGGTAGCTATGCAGTGAGGCAGACAGATGGATAGTGCCTCAGACTAAGTGGACCAGACTCCAGGGAGAGGTGGCACAGGACAGACTGGTCACTGGCCCTTCAGGAGTAGCTGTGAGTTTTTATAGAATCTGGCTAACACTTTGAATGGCTGCCACTAGGGCACGTTCCCATGGAAACACAGACAGCGCTGAGCCTGGCAAACATCTTTACAAATGAACTGCACAGACGCCTTTCTATGCAACCTTGAAGACAGGAACAAAAGCTATGATGTGAGAGGTATGATGTGAAGAAGAGATGGCGGGTCAACACAAAAAGTCTGGATGATGAGTGAGCGGACAAATCAAAGAGTTTTGTTTCAAAATGGAATTTTTACCACATTTTGCAGAATTTTGGGGAAAAAATTTATTTTTGAAAACAAACTCTTTAATTCGTCTTTCTCACCTGCACCTCTTGGTTAGTCCTGTACTGGTCCTTCAGCACAGAGGTTCTCACTCCTTCCTCCAGCCTAACCCCCTTCTCTCTTTTCACCTCCGGGCCCCAGAAGTTGACATTGTTTGTGCCAGGTCCTGTCCTTCCGTCCCTCCCTCCGTCCAGTTCCCTCCTCAGGTTGTCATTGTCCCTCTGGAGCTCCCTCAGCTGAGCCTGGAGATCAAACGTGGAAACCTGTTCCCGTGCAAACGGATCCAGTGCCTGTGGATGTCTTCCAGACTGCCGCCGCAGACTGGAAGTCCCTGCAGTATGCAAGGTCTGGTCTCCATAGGGGTCTGACGGGTGATGAAGCCCATAGGAGGTGATGTTTGGGCTGCTGCCCATGGCTGTTGTCCGGTTAGTGTAGGAGGAGCGGCTGGTGCTCCTGCCCAGCGTCATGGTGCCTTTAGGGTACCCACCAGAGGGTTCCAAGGAATCTTGCTCAGTGGGATACATGGTGCCTGAAGTGGCATAGGCAGCACTCAAAGACTGGATGTTCTCCATAGACAGGGTTTTACCCCCTGGAGCTGTTGCTGAACCACGACTCACTCCTTTGTCTGCTGCTGAGCCAGGTTTGATCTTCGAACCTGGCCTCGACACTGACCCTTGACTTCCAGTCAATTTAGATGCTGGGGCAGGCCCACCCCCTGACACAGAGCCTGGTTCTAGCCCCGAGCGGGAGCCTGGTGCTGAACTTACAGCCTGTTTGCCTTTCCCCTGTTTGGGGGATCTGGAAAAGCGTGAATGAGATGTGCTGCCATCAGTGTGCCCACTACTCTTTGGGCCAGCAGAGAGCTTGCTCTGCGAGGGCTTGGCTCTAATGTTTAAAGGCATTTTTTATATGGCAAAAGTGGACTTCCAAGAGGAAACGGTTATATTTTCATGTCCCTTTACGGAACCAGAATGAATAACGAGGTTTAGAATAAAGGCCAGGCCACCCCTCAGCCTCTCAGTTTTCACCTGTCCATCCCTGATTGTTTAGGGCTTGAGGCTGAGTCTTATTTAATCCTATTAGAAGAAAGTGGCAGTGAATGTTGGCTAGAAGGCTCCCAGACACACAGGTCAGAGGTCTTGTGGTTTCAGCTACAGTGCAGGACATGGTGGATTCTAGACAGGTAAAACAGGGGCAAATATTCAGAGAAAGACCAGTCATATTTAAAATAAATAACAAAAGCAGAATCAATTCACTACATGGTTCATAAGTCTGGTTATCAATTTTATAATACTATTGCCAATATAAGTATCTGATATCAAAAATACTTTTTTTTACTTTGCTTTGATCAATATAAATTACTGAAATGCTGTCTAAACAGACACAAAAATAACCTTGCCTAAATAATAAAATCTGTCCAAAATTCACAGAATAATGATCATTTAAATCAGGAACTATCTGATTAAGAACAAGAACGAGTAGGCAAGACTACAAATCTGATCAATGTCAATTTTCTGTTCACTAACTATGAACATGGCTCAAGGTAAAACTAAATAATTAAGACCTTATTATTATGGGGTGGTGATGTCGCAGTGGATAATACAGTGCCTTTTGTGTGAGAGATCTGGGTTTAACCCCTAGTCACTCTAGAGGCGTGCGATCTTTGACATATATAGCAATTGTAAGTCGCTTTGGATAAAAGCCTAAGCTAAATGAATAAATGTAAATGTAGACTAATCCAGGGAACCAGTTACAGACAGACATTTAGTATACAGTATCATTTGTTCCATCGTTCCATGCTCAGGTGTGGCCAATCAAGAGCTGAAAAGCATTAGCTCTTGATCAACTGAAAACATCTGCCTCAGCTAATCAGGAGTGGGCAAGGCATGGATGATGGAAAATAAGATAGACTGTGGGTCTACAGGTGTCAGGTTGGGGGACCAAGGATTCTCTTACTATTTCTACAACACTCTGTAATCCTCTTTTCTATATTTTTGGTTGTGAGAATGATGGGAGGATGGGAAACAATGTCTGTTTAACCACCAGAATATAGATTATGTACAGATATATGAACTCATAACGTATAGAGTCCCTTGCAAAGCACAGTTACCACAGTAGATGGGGGTAAAAACAAGGAGAGGGACCAGCTTGACCATTTCAGTACCATGGACAGCACTCAATCTGACATCATAAAGACTCTGATACCTGCTCAGGTCTGAAGGAAATAGGGACAAAACAGTGTAAATGGCTATGGCCCATGTACTTTCTATGCTATGGTTATGGCAGACTGCACAGGGAATTGGAAGGCACTTGCAAAGCTCATCATCAGACTTTATCAGGGCTGAAGACATACACAATACGTTTGGCTTCAGGCACTTGGAATTTAGGCTGAATCAAACTTAAACATTACAGCATGATACGACTGTACCCATATTAGGATAAAATAATACTATGCCTATATCATAGACAATATTTGTATAATTTGTTGTCCTTGAGGCAAAAGGCTGCACATATATTCAAATAACAATATATCCCCAGCAAATCAAAATAAGCACAACCCAGTCCATGATGGACCTGATATTGGGGACTGTTTGCAAAGCAGAAGCAAATCCAAATCATAATCCCTCCTCTAATCCAAGAGGATTGGGTGCTGGGAGTCACTGCACAGGATGCAATTGAGAGATTGGTTAAGTCTGCTTGTCAGTCATGAAATAGCTGTCAATCCCCTATCCATCATTGTTTGAGGCAATGAATTTAGCCTTATGTGCCAGGAGTGGAAACATCAATTCCGAGAATAATTTTGGTGCATCAATTGAGCATTTCCATCCAAATTGACCGTGAGAATTCAATGACAGTGATTAAAATAAAATCCCTAAGATAACTGTGTATTTAAAAAAACCCTTTCAAACAAGGAAACACGTTAGCTTGCAGCTATTGAAGCTTTGTGTAATGATATAAGATATAATTTGCATTAAGATGGAGGTATCATAAGTGAACTGGTCAGTTTCTACGGGCACGCGCCAAGTTTACGCAGCTGTATAGCTCCTTGTCAAACAACACTGACAGGACGAAATAACTGACAAAGACAGAAAGGACTCATAAAAATTCAATAATAAAATGCCACAGCTAGGAAACGCCTCACTTCCTACTGACCTGAAACCTCTGCACTTACTTGTGAGTTGGCAGCCAGCTGTTGCCGCGAAGCGGAGTCTGGAGTCAACACCCAAACTGCACTAGCATAACTCGTTCATTTGTGTGCTAATATTGGTCCATACGTGCCCCTTCTCTCCTACTGCTCAACAAGCCGCCAACCCAACGTACAAACTATGAAGCAGACTGCACAATATTTCATGTGTGGCACGAGTAAAACGGCCGTTGTGCATGTGACTGCGCAGCCTGGACCCAGACGCCCCGAATAACTCTACTACGACCACGGTATGAAGGATTAGTTTCTTGCTCATATGCACACGGCTAACGTTACACGAGTTCGAGCTAGTACCTTACATAATGATTAATCTGCTGCACAAACTGAAAGCACAGTTTCATTTGTTTAAAAAAAAATGATGCCACAAAAACCCAGGTGTGCACGCCTACGTGTGCTCGAGCTTACCGGACAGGCACCTCTCCATCACCGTGAAGTCCCAGCCGTACCCTGTCCGACCTCGGCGCAGGCTCCATGATCTCATCGGCTCAGCTCTCCCGTTGACCTGTCCTGCCACCGGGTCCTCGTGGGCGCGCTCTCCCAAGCTGGCGCGTGCGCGACCTATGCGGTGTGGTGGGTCAGCAGCACGAACATGGCAATAATTGGAGCGTTTCTTTTCTTCATACACCTTCATGAGCGTCATTTGGGGCACGGCACTGGCGAAGGCTCAAAATTGACAATAATCATATCGGATGTAATGTCAAGTAAAAAAAAATTGAATTGCATTCTATTTTTCAAACAGACCAGACAGCAAATACCCTGACATGCATCAGTAATTTAATCCCATGGAAGTGAGTTGACTTTGTTTATTATATTAGATTTAGAGACACCAGAACTAATCTAAAAGTACACCACATGAGTGGATAAAGGATCACAACTGCTTTCAAATACACAAATAAAAACTGCAGACCTGGGGCAGGGCCCTCCATTGCTATTTGAGAAGTTTACTCAGCTGCTGCAGCTGTTCAGTTCACTGTTCATTCACTCAGTATAACTAACCCGGAATATAGCTACTTTTGTGACAGAAGTTTCACTCATAGAAAATACATTGGGGTCCCAGCCTACAGGCTAAAATACATAAAAAAAGCTGCACAGCCCACGCAGCAGGTGTAGTTGTAGCCTATGAATTTGTTTTGCTTTCTTATCTTTCACTCTCCTCTTCTGGTCAGCAGCCTGCAGTGAAGCATGCTATTAGCAAATTGGTGCAAGCCTGTATCCCTCTTAAACTTATGAAACTGTTTAACAGCAGGTGAAGTTATTCATCATCTGCACCTGTAAGAAATAATCCTCAGTTTCATGTCCTCCCAAAAAGAGAAGTGAAATTTTAAGGGTGGGGGTGTTTTGATATACAGGCAGGCTACATTACTCCCTTGTAATACTAAAGCTACTCAAAGTGAAATCAAGTCAAGTTTATTTTTATATTACAATGTCAATATACAGTATCTCAATTAACTTTGCAGCCCACAATAGCAGCATGTCCCAACCCAGCCCAAGCTCTCTGAATACAATTGTATGACACTGATGGATTAACTCACCAAAAAGAAAATAAGAACAAATTTACATGTAAAGAATCCACATCAAATTTGAATGGTCTGTAATATACATATGATAAAACATCGGAATACAATCTTGAAAAGTAAAATATTTACAAGGAAGAGCTGTATCATTTTTATTTTAAAAAATAAAGTTATGTATATATATATATACACAGGTTTGTAGGTTTGTCAAAATTAGGTCATAGGAAGATGGCAAAATTCTTAAAGGCCTTTTTCAGGTGCTCTTTTGCAGCCTTTAAAAGGTAGTCAAACAAAACTTTCACTCATGTTGTTGTCGTAGAAGTTGAGGTTATCTGACGACAACGCCATTCTCACTCTGTTCCAGAAGAGGGGTTGAGCCCTTGGGTTTTTTGGCCAGGACAACACAGACTTTCTGCACAGTCTTTTCCTCAGCTGAAGGTACTTCAGCTTGGGAAACATCTCATCCAACAGAACCAGCACAGCTGCATCCACCTTATTTGGATAATATCAGAGTTAATGAAGTGTGTAGTATGAACACCCACCAAATGCACAGGAAAATAAAAGGTTCATTTTACAAACCTTCTCATCCAGAAGCCGCTGCTGAACCATGAAGAAAGCCTGCCGGATCACACCATTCACTGTCTCACTGCCAGTAGAACCACTGGACAGCACAAACACTGTCTTCACACTGTTATTGACAGCATTATGTAGATTTTCTATACATGAAAGTCCAGGTATCCAGTCCCTCTCCTCTAAACAGAGACAAAACCTCCTATGACCTGAGTTCTCCAGATTGACAGTTAACTCATTGTAGACCCAATCCCTCACAGCCTGGTTTCTGGTGTCAAACACTACGAAAGCATCGTAGTGATAATGTGAATCACTTCCAGCCAGCTGGGAGTAGCCCTTATGTCCTGCCCAGAGTACCTGTAAGCAATACCACAGATCCCAGCCATAGAGATGCTTCAGTATGGGCAGGACAGTGAACGTCACAGCCAAGAAGGAACAAACGAGGCAGGCTAAGCTACCATATATGTCCTGGCAGGAACGCTGGTCCATCGACAGTATACTCACACCCTGTTGGGACTCTGGGTATTCACAGTGTATATGGGAGGTGAGGTAAGGAATCTGTACCGGAGTGGTACGCAAGAAGTCCGCAAACCAAGATGTATCACAGTCACATTTAAACGGGTTGGCATGCAGTGTGAGTTTCTGAAGGACACTACCATTTTTAAAGGGGGCAGGGAGAAGCTGATGGTTCAACTCTTTGATCTGATTGTGGCTGAGGTACAGATATTGCAATGACTTCGCCTTACTGAAGAAATCCTCTGGAATAACACTAAGGCGGTTGTGACTGAGGTCCAGGAGAGAAAACATTGCTCCAAATTCTATGACTTCAGGAGGCAAATAAGACAGGAAGTTTTGACTGAGGTCCAGGTGACGTAAATTGGTGAGTGCTGAGATGTTCAACCATGGGAAATAGTTTAGCAGATTGTCGCTGATGCGGAGGGCCTTCATGCTTCCTGGGAGGTTACACAGCACTTCTGGAGAGATTGACTTCAGTTCATTGTTAGAGATGTCCAGGTAGCTGAGGTTTGTCAGGTTTTGGAAGAAATTAGTGTACCTGTTGTTTTCTGACTCCCACATAATGTCCAGGCGGTTTCCATGGAAGTAGAGGTACTTCAAAGAGCTGCTGACCAGCCTTTGATCTACTCGCCTCTCAATGCCATTGTTTGCCAGACTTAAGACTTCCAAGTTAGTCAGATTTTGAAGGAACTCTAAACGGTGGCCCATGCCCCTCATCTTGAAGTGAAAGTCATTGTTACTAATGTCCAATACCTTCAGAGTGGTTTTAAGCTCACTGAAAGTGGCTTCATAATAAAGATCAAGTCTATTGTACGATAAATTAAGAAAAACTAAATTTTTCATGCTTTCAAACATCCCACGCTTCAATGCCTGGCTCATGTAATTGAAGGAAAGGTCTAAACAAACAGCATTTTCCAAGCCTACAAACACCTCTTTGTTAAGAGACACAATGTCATTTTGAGACAGGTCAAATGTCAGTTTCTGTTGGCAGCACTGTTTTTTAAAGTCCCACAGTGATGGAAATTGTGACACATTGTCCTCAAACATTTCCAGTCTGTTTGACTGGTTGGATTCCCAGACGTCACTTCCAGATGTGACTCGATCTATTAGAATAAGGGGTGGGTCAGGAAAATGAGGTGTATACGAGTTCTGGTTCTGAAAGCTTCCCTGTGCCACAATCTCTGACGACGGAGCCAAGCAGAATTTAAGAAAATTAAGCATGTTTTGGGAGAGGTCAATATTAATGAGAGACGGTAACATTTTCAGAGGTTGTAAGTTACAAGTATCGATGAAGTTCAATCTCAGTTCTAGTTTCTTTAGGCTTTGAAGTTTGGAGAGAACACCAAGGCTGTCTTCTGAAATCATGTGGAAAAAGTTACCACTCAGAAGAAGATATTGTAGACCAGATATGTTGGCAATGTGTGGGGAGAGGATCAGCTCCTTAAATGTCTTCAGTGGTTCATAGTTATAGATAAGGCTAATCCAAGTGAGGCCCTTCAGCTCTGCAAAGAAGGTGCCATTACGTATTGCATATGCCAGGAGGTTGTCCGAGAGGTCCAATCCCTTCAAATTCCTCAAAGGTTGGAAAAGTCCCTCTGGAAATGTTTTCAGAGAGTTTCCCCGCAAGCTAAGGAAGGTGATGGAGCTGTTCTCAGCATAGAATGAGTTTGGTTTTAGGCGTAGGGGGAGATTATGTGGGCATGGAAAGCAGGGTCTGGCTGCATGGTCACAACGCTGGCAATTCCACTCCAAATTCAAATACTTGAGGACAGTAAGGTTGGCAAATGCTCCTTCTAAGACCTCTGTGATTGTATTCTCTCTTAAATCCAGACTCTCCAGTGAGGGTGGCAACCCTTTAGGGATGGATGTTAAATTATTATACCCTAAGGTAAGGTTTTTGAGTTTAGGGAGCTCTCTGAAAACCTCCTCGCTGATGTAAAAAGACTGGTTGCAAGGGTTTGCATAAAAGCAGTTCCTGGTGAGGAAGAGCTCTTCAAGATGAGGAGTTTTTAACGGGTGGATAATGTGGAGGATGCAATTATTCTGTAAATCAAGGACCCTCAGGCTTTCAGGTAACCACGGTATAGAGGTGAGGCTATTTCCTGAGAGATACAAAAACTTAAGCTTCAGTAGGCTCTTGAAGGCATAATAGTGGATCCACATCTTGCATGAGCTGTTTTCCAAATTTCTCAGCCGACCTGGTTGACAATTTCCTATTATTGACAGGGTGTGAAGGTTTGGGACACCTGATAAAGCTTGCTGCCACACTTGCTGTATTTTAGTCCGACTTAAATTGAGTGACACAACAGTGGTAGACTTGATGAAGGAGACATGCGTGAGTGGTCTGTCATGGCAGTCTACTGTGGTGGTATTCACGTCAGTGTCACATGGGAAGAAGATGGTGTTTATGGTCCTCACAAATGGAAGAAGCTGACAAAGGATGAGGATAGTTTTCAGCAGAGCCTGAAAAAAATAAACTTAATTTCAGTTGTTTGTTGTTGATGGTTCAGAAGATGTATTCTGGGCATATAAATTAACTTGTATATGATTTTTAATAACTGTAGCTTTTTCAAGCTTCTTTCTGTAAGGAAGACTGGGTATGGTTGTAACAGTTTTTGCTTCAGCAACTATAACTCGCTGAATTTTGTAGCTAGAGTTCTCAAACTTTATTCAAAGTACCCACATTTGTTCACTACAAATTGCACCAATTCTATCCTCTACAAAAATATCACAGACCTCGTGAATTGATGTCAAATGCATTGTGTTCCCTTGTTACAACTTACCCCACTACCGGGGTAGGTTGTAACAAACTGGGGTAAGTTGCAACAATAAGAGACAAGAAGGAAAAATAGATGCCACACTGTATGATATGCTTCAAAAACAGGTAGACTACAGACTTAGTGTGATGACTCACGCACATGTATGTGCATGTAAATTTATCTAGCCTATAGAATAAACTTACTTAAGTTCTACTTAATAAATACTACTACAATGTACTTAATTAAAGAACATCTTTGTACATCCTTAGGTCTAACAAAAAAGAAGTGTGTGTCAATGTGTGTATATTCTTAATCAGAGTCACAGTCAGTGCTTGAAGTGGGCCAGTACTCATCGATACGAAGTACCGGCACTTATGTATTTTACTCTTTGGCATTTTTCTTGCACACCTGCACCTCTCACAAGCTCCCGGTGTTGTGCCGAATTCTGCCTGCCTGCCAGAATTGCATGCACCTCACGGGTGATAACGGTCATTAATGCTGAGAAAAGAGGTGGATGCAAATCTCAGCAGGGAGCCTACAAAATTTCTGCCGAATTATGCATCCACCTCTTTAGGTCCTTTTCAGACACTTTGCTGTGCTCATTGATCAAACGCGGTTATCACCACATATATTTAGGTACTGAATGTCAAGGAATGATACTTCTACTAAGTGTATTAAAATATTAAATACTCTAAACGTTCATAAAATATATACTTCGAATCATTTATCACCATTGATGGACCCCACAAAGAATATTATAGCGTTAAAAAGCAGTATTTGGAGGTGCATGCAATTCTCGGCAGGCAGGCAAAACTCGGCATAACACCTGTATGCTTCCCTCTCCACAGGCTGAGACGGAGTATGGAAAAGATCGAGTGCCGATACATAGGCTAACTTACGCCAATATGTACACAACATGAATGTACATGAATGGGAAGTACTGGTCACAGAGACAGCTGACAAATGAATGCTGGTAACCCTGGAGTGCAGGCTTGGTGGGCCCAGACTGCAAGGGGTAGGCCTTCTCTGTACAATATTAAAATCAAGCAAGTCCCTAGTTGTATGTACAGGGAATGGGCACTTTTTCAAGAAGTGTTACAACCCACCCCACCCCTGAAAGCCATTGTTTAGCTAGCTGTATAAGCATAGTGGTTTGAAATTAGAAAGGAAAAAATGCATCACATGTTGCCTCTAAGAAACAAAATATTAATCAAACTATTTTATCTGCAATAGTATAGATACTAAAATAAATAAATAATAAATGATATAATAAATGAAAATCAGTTTATTCTCTATTCTGAACGTGCCTGCTTCCAAACTTGATAACCACCATGTCCTATCAGAGAGGAAGTAGGTAAATACTGAAATGATCTCATAACTCCTATCTTATCTCTAATTGGTGGAATTTGTGTTTTTACAACTCTTCCCATGTTACAACCATACCGGTCTCCCCTACCTATAATGTAACAACAGAATAGGTAGGTCATTTTCTTAAGAGTGAAATTTTGTAAATTTTTGATGTCAGAATAAAATGTTATCTCACTTACCATAACGGTTACGGCATGTATCTTAAAATTTGCATCGGGAGCCAGTAATCTATATTCCAGGTGGAGAGAGGCAAGATTCAAAGGGGAATCTAAAAGTATCTGCTGTTGCAAGAAACTAGATCAATTTATGCAGAAGTGGAAGCATGTAGTCAAATATATATAGAAGCCTTATGCAAATCACATGACCGACACCTGAAGGCCCGGTTCCTGAATAGAACTGATGCGCGAGGAGGATGACGTTTCCTTTCACAAGGGCAAAACTCAAACGACATGGAAAGAAATTGTAGCCTACAGCAATAGCCATGTGATTGAAATGGCGTTCGATTGTTTCTGTAAACCTGTAAAAAAAAAATAACCCTGCAGTACTATGATGAACTGTTGCCGCAGTTTTTAACTTTCAGACACTGCTGAAGATGTCGCTGGAATGAATTAACTTTATCGCCGAATATTTATAAGACCTTAGTGCTCGTACGCACCTTCTCTAGTGATTGAGAAACTTTTATCTCTAACATAGATATTCAGGAAGCATGTCACTTCCTCGTGAGCCCAGACTGCTAGCGGACAGTTTCATCAAAACCTTTCTGTTATTGGTGAAAGTGGTGTTCACACCAGATATAAACAGCTCTGGAGTATACTTGACAACGGACCCACCTAAACGAACCGTACCAAGGTGGGGTAAACGCTCCAGCTTTCGGTTCAACCGGACTAAACAAGGCTGGTGTGAACCTGTCAAATTTACGAGGCACATCAGATGCAGAAATCACCTAAAATACATTCAAAAAAAAAAAAGGTTATACAAACAGTATTTTCCTTTATGCCACCCACTTTATATTAAGTTGTTCTTTTTTTTTTTTTACATTGCTGAACAAAGTTAGATGACTTGTTTAATTTACTAAATAAAAGTATTCAGAAGTAATCTACCACTTTACACCTGCTTCAAAAATCCCTTTGAAATCTGAACAAAAGGCCATGTCTCCAAAGATCCATTCCACACAGGTAGTATTTTCACAATAGTTTATTAAGTGCACTGTAGTATGAAAAAACAAACAGTAATAGTGAGCAAAAAAAGTAAAAGTGAGAAAAAGGCTGATTATGAAACTAATTTCCTTTGTTAATATAACCTTAAACACAACTAACACACTGAAAAGCCCTTTATTTTCTGTGTGTATGTACAGACTGCAGAAGAAAAAAAAACAATCAATAAAATGTGTTTTTATGATGAATCAAAACTGATTTTATTCAAGTGTTAAAACAATTATGGAGGTATTTTTGGCAATCAACATAGCCACAGATAGATTACAAATACAGTTATACAAAGTGTGTTCTGATTGGAGAGCACTTTGGCTTTGGATTGGACCTCGCGCTGTCCTGGAAACAGTGGCGGGACATCCCTTACACGCTGTAGTGTAGTGTTTCCTGGGGGCAACCACAGCATTTGCAGACTACCATGTATTTCTTGGATTATTTGCCACACACATCACTGACACAAGTGTTGAATCATCCACAGAGCGATGTTCATAAAGCCATCAGACTCAGCATCCACCTTGGAGAGTGAGTGATTGTTCCCTGGGTACCACAGCAACCTACAAAACACACATCGGAGCATTAGTGAATAAACAAAAAATTAAAGCCCTGTTGTAAAATACATATCTGACATAGCCAATAAAACATGTTACTGAAGACAAGCTGCTTACCGGACTGGGACCTTCTTTGCTTTTAGAGCTCTGTAATATTCAATTCCTTGCTTGTTAGGTACACGCTTGTCATCTTCCCCTAAGGTAAGCAAGACTGGTGTCTGTACCTACAGAGATCATCTTAGGTTACTGCATTGCAAAATGAAGTCACATGCACACAGTCAAAAGACATAACCGAAATACTCTTACCTGTGAAACGTGTTTAATGGGGGACTTGTTCAGCATTTGTTCCCAAACAGCAGGGTCAGGTAGACAGTCTGTACTGTAGTCATAGCCAGCCTCAACCATGCACCTGCAATAAAAACATCAACAGGAAAAATATATGTATCATGAATAGCTATGACATCTTTTGTGTTCAATAATGAACATGAATGTGCACACCAAGACATACCAGTCTGGGATGTCTGTGCTGCCGATCATAGATGCCAAATTGATGACGGGGTTGCGAGCCACACAGGCCTTGTAGAACCCTGGGTACTGGCCAATCAGATGACAGGCCAGGAAACCACCGTGGGAGCCCCCAGAAATGGCCACCTTCTGCATGTCGAACTCGCCGCCTTTCAGAACACTTTCAACCGCAAACTATTGGGAAGAAAAACATGGAAAAATTTGAAACATTTGTGGTGGAGAAGCAACAAAGCCACGTGGTAGAATATCAGAAGTTGGTGGAGCTAAAAAGGACAAAGGAAATTCAATAAACCACTGCTGTTATGAGCCATTACTTAAACAGAAACTATAGCAATTAACCTCAACTAATTATAGAAACCATATAAATCAACACATATAGTATACCGCCATAAAGCAGTAAAACTTGATAAACAGCATTTGTTACTCTATTTGATTTATTCTTACTTGAACATCTTTGACATCTTGGGTGCCAACATTGCCAGGTAGTGAGAGGATACTGTCCTGGCCGTACCCGATAGAACCACGATAGTTCACTGAGAAAAGAGGGGGGGGGGAAGCAAACAAAACACACATTACCATGTATTTATCAGTGATGGATATTATGATGTATTATTATACGGTTAAAAGTGACAGCTGACAGTAATCTCAAAATGATCAAAGTGAGGCCAAAAGGTTACCAGTTCAAAGCCTGAACCAACTGAAAAAAACCTGGTTGAGAACAATGAACCAATCAGGCTTTTTGTGAGACTCAGTGAGACTACAGTCAACCCAGAGCAGGCTCTGGATAAATTGAGCTCAAACTTCCCCAAATTAAACAAACAAACAAAAGAAACTGAAGTATATAAGAGAAAAGAGTTTTTTTACGTTTTAAGTAGTAAGTAAGTAGACCTGCTGCTGTTAAGTAATAGCTGCCATTTGCAGATGTTAGAACACTGAGCTAGGAGCTGTTTCTTTGTCAGCGTTGATGATGGGTTTCAAAGCATCCATATATCCCATAGTCTCTGCATATATTCTTGTACAGTAGCATTGCATCAGATCCATATTTTCCGCTCTAGTCCATGAATTTCTTGTTCCAGTAGCCCATTTGTCATCAGGTTGCCCTGGTTCCCTAGCACCTGACGAAGACCTTGTTAACCCGGGCGACGTCCAAGCCAGTATGGCTCTTGTATTTGTGGTTTCACTCATGCCTGAATTTGTCGTGGGTTGGTCTCTCTCCCCTCTTTTCCCTCTTGTTCTCAGTTTCCCCGCCCCTGTTGTTTCTGTCAGTCATGTGTGTCTTGTCCCATGTCTTTGTGTGATTGGGTGTGTCCGAGCCCGGCCTCTCTTCACCTGCAGCACTCTGCACCTGGGACTCATCAACGCCTGCAGTCTTAAGCTCTGGTTCAGTCTCCACTCGTCGCCAGTTTGTCCGTTTACCCACATATCGCACCGGCCTATTTCCTAGTTTGCCTAAATACCTTTTGTGACTTTGCCTAACCTCTTGTTTCCTGTCTGCCACAGTTCCACCCTGGTGCGGAGTCGCTGCCAGCCTGCCTGTACTCTGGATCACCAGTCCGTTGCTCACTGCCTGCCAGTCCTGACACCGTGCGATCGGATCCCCCCCCCCACCGTCTCAGGGAAGCTCATCTGCATGCTCGTCGTTCTCATCGGGGTCTCAACCTGACTGCAACTTTGCACAGCCATTGAAGTGGATTGCACCAACATTCCACAGGCCACAATCAACGACATGATCAACTCTATGCGAATTGATATGCCACAACTGTGAGGTCGATGGCAAAGGTGAAGTGCTCACTAACACAGATTTTGACAGATTTTGAAACAATATTTGAGAGAAATAGGCCTTTTGTGTACATAGAGAAAGTCTTGGATCTTTGAGTTCAGCTCATGATGAATGGGGGCAAAAACAAAAGTGTTGCATTTATAAGTTTGTTCAGTGTATATGTAATGTGTCTTGAAGTGGCTAAGGACATGTGTAATAAGTGTTTCTATTCTGAGAGCCTAGCAAAGTAACCGACCTTGCAGCAAAATATCCTTGCTCGTTCCCTTTTTATGCATCGAGTACATATCTTATAAATGGGTGATCAACATCTGAGCAGGTGTCACACAAATAAATATATGAACGTACCCAGTAATATAGCAAAGCCCATCCTGCAAAGCACAGACGAAGACAGAAGCCAGTCAGCAACAATCACTGAGTGAGGACCCCCTGAGAGAAAGAAACAAGTCATGTCAAATACAGACTGACAGTTTGTACAAAAAGCTATCTGTCATAAATATGCTCAGTCTTGTGAGGCGTAAATGCTACAATTAATATTGCACGTAAAATCAAAATATGTGAAAACATCTAAGGACTGTTATTAAAGACTGTTGATTTTCAGAATGTGATAAAAAAAAAATCTGCCAAGGGCACTATTGTCATAGCAACCACTGTTGTTGGCAATGCCAATCTTAGGTGTAGAAGAAGCTTTTGACTCGATCCTATAAATAAACTCAGCATGGATTAATGACACATTTCTTATTTCTTGTTATATGCATATTGTGTATCAATATAGAACATTTCTAATTTCAGTGTTGCTTTTTACATACTACATTAAGTCAATGCTGTATAAAAATTAACTATTGTGTAACACCACCTTACTATTCATTGTTTGTACACTTGAGAACCATTATGAGAGTAACCAACCATGTGGACTGACAATAAGAGGCAGCTTCACTCCGTCCTTAACCTCCTTTGGTTTGATCAACAAAGCATCAAAATCAAGGCCAGCTGAAATATAGAAAAATAAGTCAGTCTAATTAAGATTACATGAGCTTACATACGTGTCCCATAGACTGCCAAATCTGCTCAAGCCTCCATAAACACAATTATTATATTATATATATATATATAAGTTTTCGGACATAAACCAAACCTCAGGAGCTTCTTCTGTAAACTCTTACTCCTTCTCCTCTAAACACAACTGTCTGCAATCTTATAATTATAATTGCTTATACTACCTCTTGTATTATTGATGTGTACTAACATGCACTTTGAAAAACACATCTGTTGACAAAACTGTTAAACCCGGTGGGTATTAAATTGTGTGGCTATTCACTATATGTTAGAGGTGTGACAAGACACTTAGCTCACAAGACGAGACGAGATATGATCGTGGGTTCACAAGATCAAGACGAGATTTTAACACTGTTTTTAAGAAATCTAAAATTATATATAATTTTTCTGCACCAATTTATGGTGGAAATGTTTTTATTTATGTAAAGGGAAACACAAAGTTCAGGTGGCATGTGACAATTCAAAAGATCTAACAATAACAATATAATGCAGTGTAATGACAGAACCGTTTGGGACTGCATGTTAGGATGATTTTTGCCTCTTTAAAGGAAGTTTTTCCTTGCCTCTGTCGCCTAGTGCTTGCTCTTGGTGGGAATTGTTGAGTTTCTGTAAGTAATATCAGAGATTACAGTCTAGACCTGCTCTTTTATGAAAAGTGCTGTGAGATAACTGTTGTTGTGATTTGGTGCTATAAAATAAAATTGAATGTTAATATTGCAATACTATACCAAGGTCAGAAGCTGGTAGCGACTCACAGAACGAGAGCCGATTAATTTGATTACTATCACGGCGTACGCCTGTGTTGCATCAGCTGGGCGGAGATGATTCTTCCTGCGAGTCGACATTATCTGTTATACATTTGTTTTTCCCTGCGTGAGAAAATTGATGTGTTGCGCTCTCTCTCTCTCTCTTGATATCTATCGATATCTATCTATCTCTATATCTATATCTATCTATATATCTCTTAGATAGATATACACACATACATACATACATACAAACAAACAAATGTAATCCAATTTGATAACTTTGCAATAAACCTTATCTTTGAGACCTTATAATACTCATTTTTTGTTGACTATGTCAGAAAGATGGTGATTTAACTTACTGATTATTTTTAGGGTGTAGTTTGTGATGACTTTGTATTGCACTGCAGTGTATGTGGTACCATTCGTGTATGTGAAACAAAATGGAGAGTGGACAAAACTAACTGCATCCTTTCAGACCATTTGACAAAAACGGGGAAAAACTACATATATCAGGTCAAACTCCGAAGACTCCTGTGTAGATACTACTAAAACGAAGATTTTTTTATTCTTACGGTATTGTTTGTTGTCTTGCTCTGGTGGAGGGGTGAAAGTCAAGATCTGCCAATCAATATCTGGCAACATCTGAGACTCTTCCAAAGTAACCCAGACCACTTCCTCCTGAGAATCCCTGGGCGGAAGGAAGCCCACCCTCTGGACATGGAAATGACAGTACAACAAATGACATATCAAAGCCATCCCATCCTAAATATTATACTTAGTACATACTATATTTCAAATTGCGAATAAGACTACTCTTCATGAAGACGCTGATCCTACCAAACTTGGAGGGCAGTTAGGAGAGGAGCAGCTGACCACCATCAGATCTCTCTCTATGTTCAGCAGACACCAGTTACCAACATCAGACTCTACAGACAAACAAAGAACATCTTCAGACACAGGTTTAAATAAGCACGTTCAAGCGATCTCAGAAGGCTGATAGCTATAAGAGTTTGTCAACACCAAACAGCAGTAAAAAAGACTGTCTAGACTTGAATGCGAGTAACGCCAAGGATGATAAATGTGTCTTAAGGATGAAGCGGTATGAAAATTTCATATCACGATTATCAGTATTATCACGGTATTGTAAAAATGTGCCGAAAGAGATTAAAATGTACTGATATACACACTGAAACCATTTCAACAAGTTTTCTATTGAAAACTACAAATACAATTGCCATTTTGTTTGCATAAAAAATAAAATAACAGCAAATACATTTTGTAAACATATGAAAATCATCAGTGTGCATTATCAAGACTTTATATTTTATAGGTAATACAATGACCCCGTGGACAATTACATGAAAACAAATGAGTCTTTAGAAGACAGTGATCGTAACTACAATGAGCCCAAAAACTGACAAAAAAACAGAGGAGTCTGTAGCGTTTGTAAATATGCTAGTTGGTTGACTGAACTGCAGACTGTGTTATCATGTGCAGTGGACGAATAGACTCTGCCGACACAAGACGCACACAGCAACATAACAACGAGAGCTTCAGTTTACACGCTGTTAGCAAGTCAGAGAGACAAACTAGTTAGACGTTAACTCACTCTGCATTCACTATAAGGTCATTTTCTTCAATCGAGTTTCCCATTGACCCAAACAAACCCATGTTGCATTCTGCGCATGCGCGCCTGCTTTGCAGTGAGATTATAACAGTGTGGTTAACCGTACCCGGTTATCATGGTAATTAAAATGTGTACGGTAATACTAACCGTTGGGAATTTTACCATTGTTGTTTCATCCCTAATGTGTCTATTGACTCACTTGAAGTCAGAGAGGTGATGCTTCCTGTGCTTATATCCACCATCAAAATGTCCTACAAGAGATACATAAACTTTTCTCAGGTAAAGATAATCACAATATTCTTAGTCTTAACACTTTTATTATGAGCAAAATGTAAATTTATCAGAAAAAAATAGCAAGCCTTATTGTCCAATTTTTTTTTTTCATAATAACAAGCATTTCCCGGGAGTCAACTGTACCTTGCGGCTGCGCTGAGGACAGGCAACAATTACACGTTGACTATCAGCTGACCAGCACTGCGGTGACAACTGAGAGCTGTAGATTCCAGTAAAGCTATCTGCAAAGCCACACAAATACACACAAAAACAATTTAGTTTGACATATAGTCTGGGGAAAAAAGTGCTTTCGTGTGACCACCAAATATTCCATACCTTCTCCAGGACGCTTCACAACATCCACCACCACTGAGGTCTTCTTAGTATACCAGTCATACTAGAAATAAAATACGCAACGACAGAGGAAAGCATATTAAAAAGGAATGTATTTAAAAGGGCTGGGCATGTTAACACGTTAATGCACTAATTAATTAATGGCAATTATTTTATTGCACCTTATTTATTATTATTATTATTATTATTATTATGAAAGTCCGTTGCTCACTGGCTCTGAAGACACACAGTGATCAGAAAAGGAAGTGCTCCGCGAATAAATGGCAGGCGCTCTTAGTGCTTCAGTGCACTAAACAGCTGTAGACTATTTAACTTAAGTTACAATTATAGGCTACATAAATACCTGATAGGCCTACATCTAGTTTTGCAGGGATGCTCTGCAATATGAATTCCCTCCTGTTGATGTCCTATTTAGTAAACAGTAATAGATTCTGGAAACTCACAAACAGTGAGGATCAGTCTCTCTTCCAATGATTTGTACAAAAAGTTCAAGACAATTCAGCAGCGCGCTGGGGTTGTGCGTGAGGCGACCCCTTCACCTCACTCTAACAGGGACACTTGCTACTGAACATAGACTGTTTATGCTGCTCCCTGATAAAAGAAAAATGTTTCTGCTGATAGCCGAGAACCAGAAAACAGATTTATATATGTTAACCTGTTGCTCAGAAACCAGAACTCAGAAAAGTTATATGATCGTAGCTCTGGACTTTAACTCATTTTAACAAGCTATAAAAGGTAATGTCATGGCAGTGGCAAATAGCTTTGGTTTGATTTTTGATTTGATTACATTAATGTTTATGTTGAGAAGAATATTTTATTGCTACTGTGTAAAAGGGAATACTGCAGGTAAGTGTTTGCAAACCACATGTTATTGCACTTTTGTGTAAAAAGCAGTACATTTAAATCAAAAGTGCGCAATATACTTTTTATAATAATTATAATTAATTATTCAATTGTGCATGTAACTATGCGGTTAATCGCAGAAAACCATGCGACTGAAATTTTTAATCGTTGCCCAACACTAGTATTTAATATGTCTGCTCCAACAAATGTTTATCTACAGAACAGATCACCACAAGATGGTGCATTGTAGGAGGAAACCATCCATTCCTACTTCTTTTTTGAGTGAGTACAGTGCAGTGTTGTAAAGAAGGGAAAGCCAATGTGTCTTATGTGGAAGAGGAGGAGGCTCCATCCTGGCTTACCATACAGAGCCTGCTGCACTGCATGTGTGGTCCATAGACAGAACATTCCAGGTAGACGATCCGACACTGGTCTGGGCTCAGCCTGGGGGAGCACACTGCGCTTGTGCCCGATGACAGCTGCTCTGAGGGACACAACAAACACAATACACATAAACATCTGCAATAGTAACTATAAGATAGTATAGTAAGTAGTAAATAGTAAGTCTAGCCATACCCAGTTATACCAGACTACTTTGTCTGATGTGATCATCAATCAAGGATCACACTTGTGTTTAACTTCTGGAGTCTAACTTGTCGTACACATTTAGTCATGTTTAGTCTACAATGCTAAACACAAAAATTAAACAAGGACAATTTGATAATGTAGAGCTCATAGGTGATTACACTGTACAAGACTTGGTGTATTTGAGCAGCATTCTTTAATTTTCACAGATCGTGTTTATGAAAAAAGGCACTGCTGATCTAAATAACAGAAAACAAGCATTCACTTACCACATTTCCCACCGGTAAGATCCACATAGAACAAAGAAGACCTGACAGAGAAAAGGGAAGCAAGAATAACTTGCAGAATTAGCCTCTTAGCCTTGCTGGGGGATTATTTGATAGGCCAGCTTTAATTCTTATGTTTGATCAGTGTGAACAGTAATCACCTTCTGTTGGGGCAGTACTTGAGGCCAAGTCTAAAAGGCTCATGCCACCAGCCTACAAACACCACACCTGTGTCACCTGGAGCCCAAAATGCCTATGTAGACAGGGTAATGGAAAGACAAGAAGAGAGCAACAGCTGAGGGTATGAGGGTATGAGCACACTAGACAGAAGTGCACAAAAACAACTGGTGTACCAACCTGCCCAGGTGAGATATTTTCAGGCACTCCTTCCAACACAGAGACGTTGTCTCCCTCAATGTCCAAAACACAAAGCACTGGACAGCTCTTGCCAACAAGTGCCTCTCCCCAGTCCTCATAGAAGGCAAACTGCTCCCCCTGCAGGGATGAAAAAGCAAAAACAACAACTTAAAGCTAGGTTAGGCAATTGAATATCTGTAATATATATATATTTTTAATTCTATTTACGTCCTGAGAGCAATCAATTCATGTTCTGACATAAAAATGAAACAAATTTCAGTATCTGTTGCAGGACTGTAAAAAGCACACCCTGCCTACCTAACTGCGCGCACTCTGTCTGTGCACTCATTGGGCATAAAAATGTTTTTTAGGGGAGTGGTTTTGGAGGCCTGATGTGAGGGGGTGGGATTTTTAAGTTGGATAATTTCAAAATATTGCTGTCTCTTGCTAGTTTCTACCCTAGCTTTCAGCTCAAGCAGAATATAACATAACAAGTTGGATTAAACCTCTGAAATGTGAAAAATCATGTGTGTTTCAAAAGCATTTATTGCATTCACTTTTGCGGTCTCCTTTTTCTCCACTCTCATGGCCTCCTCCTCGTCCCCAGCAGAAGACGACTCAGGTGACTCAGTCTACAAACAGAAAACGAGAAATAGAAAACATTAGAATAGAACCGTGTTCTAACCTCTTATCTACGTATGGTAAATGATGAATGAACACTAAATCACATACTCTCAGTGTGAATGCTCCGTATTTGTATAGCGCCTTTCTAATCTTTTTGACCACAAAGCGCTTTTACACTACATCTGCATTCACACACATTCATACACTGAGCCTGCTCAAACAGAAACGAACATTTGGAACAGCCACCAGGGGTAATTCAGGGTTCTTCGACAAGCAGCCCGGGGAGGCCGGGGATTGAACCTCCTGAGCCACAGCCACCCCAAGGTATAAGGATAAGGATAAGCGTCTGTTCAACGGTGTGCAACTACCTATGAGATATATCTGATCCGGTCTGGTGAGTGTGTTTAGAGTGTAAATCTCCTGAAGCCATCAGTACAACGCCGAAGTAGTTTTGCATCATCAAGCATGTGTTTGAAGCTTTCTTATCTATTTTTAAACATTTCCTTACAGGATATCACAGAATAGCTAGAAACATGTACAAACACTGTAAAAAAAAGCAATCACTGAACCATCTACTTCTTTGATATGCTGTGGACAAAAATGAACACTACCCTAGCAATGACATTGGGGAGAATCAACATTTCAACCTAAAGAGAGCAGTGCTGATTAACCTTCAAATCAAACAATTTGCTGACAGACCTGGAAGAAGGATTCTGCCTTAGGTCTCTTTCTTTCTGCCACATACAAGAGGTGGGTCTCGGAGTGGGACCAAACCAAGCAGCCAAACTGCTCTAAGGGCGCAAAACACAGTGTCGTTACCACCTGGGACTGGCACAAGTAAAGGCAAAGTTTGAAAGAAACTGGTAAACAAAAAGAAATACTGATTTTAAGTGCAGGTGACTCACCACCGTCATAGACTTTGCCATGCTTCTTTAAGGCTGTGAGGTTGATGCTCTTCATTTTGATGTTTTTACTCCAGATCTGAAGGGTCACAAAGAGGTCAGGAAGGGAAAGGAGTCAAAGATACTGGGTTCAAGTTGCACAGAGGTTTAAACACAGACTACAGGTGGACAATTCCAGAGGCACCATTCAAGGGTCAAAAACAAAACAACAACACCAAAAACGAACACACCTCCAGAAACTGCTTATCCTCTCCTTTGATTGTGCACTCTCTAACGACAGCCTTCATTTCACCCGAAGGGGAGTCCTTACTTAGCAACCTGATGGGAGAGACATATTGATGAGACACTGTTCAGTTTGCTCAGGGTTAGATCTATGAGAATGTCCAGGGGCCTGTACCACGAAGCAGGATTTGAGCTTATCAAGGTAACTTCGGGGTTAACTCTGGGTTTTCAGTAGCACGACAATGGTTCACTTCTTACTGGGGAAGACCTCCATGGTAACTTATGCTGAACAGCTAACCTGCAGGTTATGTTCCAGATAAGAGATCAACTCTACAAAAACACCACCCACTGACCAATCAGCTCTCTTGGAAAGTGACATAACCATCTGTAGGAAATCCCACAGACTTTTTTAAAGGCTGCTTTATGTTTGCTGTGGTGATGCGGAGAAACTCTATTTGAGCACATTTTATGGCATGAATGGATTCTTCGTTTCATTGCTTTATGAAGAATGAACAATGTTTGGAACACTTTTTCTCATTTTAGAAGTGACGAGAATTTCTTTAAAGTGAGGTGGAACGACCACTTATTCAGTGCCCGAGTCTTTTAATGTGGAAAGGCCGACACACAGCCGAGCTGAAAGAATAAGGCTGATATTACATACAGTACATATGAACACATCAAATCAACACATTATTATGGACTACGCCCGTTCATTAAGGTATTCACACTGTCTGTTATTTTCTGTCTCCCTGCATGTGTCAGCTGCAGCTGTGTTACTTAGACTATTTCGTATTTCTCTAGTGTTACAGTTTTCTCTTCATTCGTAAAATATGCCGCTCTGATGCCAGTGGATTTGTTCATGTCTGCGATTGCTCATCTGCTGCTAACATCGCTCTCTTTTATGTGAACACGCTCACGGCTGGATTGGGAAACCAGGGGTTGAGTTACTGAGTTGATAACCAGCTTCATGGTACCTTTTCACGACCGCGATTATTAGGGTTAGTTAAGCCAAGTAACTAAAAGATATCCTAGTTATGTTGAACTCACTTCGTGATACAGGCCACAAGATGACAACATGTTTACATACTCTCCCTTAATCTCAGTGCAGTTTCCTGAGGTACCAGAGAAAACCACCGACTTGTCATCGTGGAAGACAATGTACTGTCGGCAGTACTTGACATTCTCATTCCTCTCCAGATCACGCTGGCTCCATTCTGCAGAAAAATTAAACAAAATGCTATCAATATCAACATAAATACACACATCTGAAAATCTTAGGATGGCACAGACTAAATCTACCTGTGTAGATGTTGCTGTATTTGCCACCATACTGGGAGGTGATGACAGGTCCCGTATCTGCTCTGCTCAGAGAAGGGAAGAGACTGAGTTCTCTGTAAAGCCTGGCAATTTCCTGAGGGTTGGTCACCACCTGACAACACGCAGCAGAATAACTCACACTACGTCTCAGTGACACAAAAAGCCTAACAGCGAACAATGCCCTATTCATTTCCTAGCTAAGAAGCTAGCCAGCTATACACAAGTCCGTATTGTTTACCACCAAAAAACACAAGTCAGTTTATGAACGTTAGTCTGACGTTTGTCCTTTAAACAAACAAAATAAAACGATTTGCGTGATAAACAACGCAACCAAGTAAACAAGCTAGTTTGTTTCTAGCAATGTTTGGTGGATCTAATTTGACCAGCAACTTCCGGTAGCAGTTGACAGTAAACAACCGAACCTGTGTCAGTCTGCTAGCTTGACTTGAAAGCTGGCTAAACGTTAACTGAGTTATTACCAAAAGGTGATGACAACGTAATTAACGCCAGCTAACGTTATATTAAAGTTGCATTTAAGCTATTTTGTAGGGTATGTTATCTGTTCAGAAGCAAATAATGAGTAATCTTTGAAGTTTAATCATACCTGTGACTGCATGATAGGGACGGTGTGTGTCGCCAATCTGCGAACGTCAAGCCGTGGAAAGCACAATGGAGCAGGAGCTGCTGCTGCTGCTGCTGCTGCTGCTGCTTCTTCTCCTTTTTTCCCGGCAGTCTCGGCACTGTTTTAGTGCATTGCTGCCTCCCACTGGTATAGTATCGCCATTGAAGCTTTGTTACCTAAGAGCTATATCTTGCGATATAGACCTGTGGATTTAAGGAAGTTTATTAATTCCCTATATCTCTCCTTTTGATGTACCCCGTCACTTAGCAGTGTTCTGATGGAAAATATTTCCATTACCAGTTTGCCTAATTCTATGAATAATTCCCTCCTTTGCTTGGCGTAGAGTGGGCAGTGAATTAGTACATGTTGTATAGATTCCAGGACTCCACAGTGTTCACAGTTGCCGTCTATATGCTTCCCCACTAGCATCAGTCCACTTGCTAGCCCGCAGTGTCCCAGTCTTAGTCCTGTTACTTTTACTTCGTCCGTCCAAGGCGTGGCCACTTTATTTCCGAGCTGTACTGCAGGTTGAATGTTGTACAGCTTTCTACCGCTTTTGTTTGCTTCCCATTCTTGTTGCCATAGATGATTCAGTCTTTCATTGATGCTGCTGCAGCATTCCATCCTACCCAGTGGCACCTGCACCTCTACACCATCCCTGCTCAAACTTGCCTTAGCTACCCGGTCTGCCTCCTCATTTCCCTTGACCCCAACATGTGCTGGAACCCAAAGAAAACCCACACTACACCCTTGCCTCTCCAGTTTAAAAATCATCATTAAAATCTCCCCAGCTATGTCTGGCCTAGCTCTACTACCATCGTCACCACCCAATGCCATCAAAGCAGATAAGGAATCTGTACATAGTAGGCTATAGCCTTGTCCAAGCCCACCTCCTCCACCCACCACAGTGCCCACAATAGTGCAACTAATTCTGCAGTGAATATTGAAATCCCGTCTATCATTCTTCTACACTGGGACATTTGAACACGAGGAACATACAAGTCGAATCCCACACTTTTACTTTCAGGGTCTCTTGACCCATCAGTATATATGCTTCTATAGTCCTTCCATCTATTTCTTAGGTGTTCCTCTACATAAACTGCAGGATTTCCCATTTCACTGGTCTGTATGACCTCTGCTGCTGCTGCTGCTGCTGCTGCTTCTTCTTCTTTTTCTTCTTCTTTTTCTTCTTCTTCTTCTTCTTCTTCTTCTTCTTCTTCGGTATTTATCGGCGGTTGGCACTCCAGCAGATTAGAGGTGCATTACCAACTGGACAGGAGTATAGAACAAGAGATGCAGGGAGAAACAACAAAACTTAAAAACGTAATAATTAGCATAAAGTAGCAGAAAATTGTACTGCATTACAGTACAACTACAGTTAGTTACACCACTGGATTTGTGGCAATAACAGAAGGGTGTAGGCCTATGGAGAAAAACAGGAAAGAGAATGATGCCACAATGTATCAAACACACAGTGAAACATGGTAGTGGAAATATTCAAATCCAATGGTGTTTAATATGTTTAGTAGTTTATCAAATTGATTCTGGTGTTATTATAATTGGTAATTATCCTAATGGAATCTGTTGTATATTATTTTTAGTAATTTCATATTGGTGTATATACCTTTCTCACCTTTAAAAAAAAAAACTCTGATCAGTGTTTTGCAATGGATAACTCAAGAACTACACGGTGCATATACAAGTGCATATCTGACTATTTGTGCAAGAAGTAGGCTATTAAGTAGGCTATTAAATACCTAATGGACTCCATCGGTTGGTTTACCTTTAATTTTTCAATGAACAATTGTTCTGTTCCTAATGGCAAACAATGGAAATGAAACCCTACGCCCCTGTTTACTTTAAAATGTAGATGTAGGCCTATTCCTTTGTGGGATTTTTGGTAGTTTTATAGTGGCCAACTATAACTTATAATACTGTAGCTATACTCAGAATACCTGTGCACTGCAGATGTAGCTGTCTTTGCTGATCTGTTTGAGAAACAGATTTAAAATATGGCCTCAAAGGAAAGGAAAACTTGTTCTATATATTCACAGTATAGTTGTACCAATCTCTGTTGAGTGGGCGTGTGGGGTTTGCACAAATATTTTGACAATGAAATCCTGCACTCTGCCACAATGAGTAGACCTAATGAGGACGAGTCAAATATGGAGTAGGCCTAGCCTACATGGATAGATCCTGCGCTCACTTTAAAAAGCATAACTTGTTTACAATTTAGTCTACTTACAATTAAATCCATAATCCGTGTCCGGAGTTCTAAAGTGGTCTGTTAAATGTATTAAATGTAGTAAAATAATTTTGTAACCTCCCTATGAAAGATATTAAAAAAGCCTGCTCTGTGCTGCAGGGAAGGGCCCACTCAGTGCCCGGGGTGTCCGGGGGCTGCTTTACTTGCCCAAGAAGTTGTTCATAGCCTATCATTTCAGGGAAATAGGATAATTTTATGAAGTCTAGAAAAACAAATGACTTGTGTCACACAGAGCCTCATATAAAGATTTCCCTATGCTTTGTTCAACCTGAAAGAAGATGTCATTGATCATTATTTTGAACATACTTCCTTGTTTATTCCTGATTCTAAGAACAATATAGATTCTTGTATCCCAACCCATATGGAACCCACTTTGATATGGAGACAAAAGAGCTTTACTTACTAGGAAATAGGTTAATCACTCTGACCATTTGTTCCATGATGGAAAGTTAAAGAAACAGGCCTATAGAATGATCTGAAACATTTACTATATTTGCTTGTTTCTACACTGAGGAAAGTTAGCAGCATCCTAAACTCTGTTAACAGTCCTAACACATAGACTGTATATAACACCATGCCCAGTGTATTATCTGTCATGTATGCAACATTTTGACCTACACCATTTCTCCCAGGAGTGGTCTAAAAAGTGCTGGTAATTGCCGTTTTTAGTTCAAACATAATGAAAGGTAAGTCTAATTGATCCCCTGACATCTCCCTTTTCTCTAATATTTTGGGGTTCCCCATTAAGATTTTGTTTCTACACTGCCTGAACCTCCTTTGTAAGACAGTACACAATACTAGCTAAAATCAACATTAACACTTGTTGAATATTCCTGTTGCTACTTGAAAAATAAAATACAATCCCAAATGAAGTTCCCGCAATGAACCAAAATACCGAAATTTGGTATTTAATTAATGGAGAATAAGAATGAATAAGTCGCATAGAGCAATCTACAACATGGGCCAAAACCTCTGAACGTTGTCCATCAAAAAGAACAGTTTATTCACAGCCATAACATATGTCCATGCTTTTATTTTGTAGACGTATTCCTTCTGCAACACCCAACAGGAAGCAGTGGACAAATAAAATAACTGAGCTTTTAACGCCCTCTTGCGTTGTATAACATAGTCTTTAGACAATTTTAAATTGCGCTTATGCAAAGTTATTGATTTTATTATGTGGCATTCTTTGTGAAAGCACACTCATACATGTATTTTGACAAAATCACTCTGTAGCTAGTATGCATCCAGTCTCTTCTGTGTGAATGATAACCACCCATCGCACTGTTTCTGCCAGTCAGCTGGGGTAGGTGGGGTCACAAAGAGCCAAGATGGCTGACTTTGAGGATCCGCTGTCAGAAGAAGAGAAGGTTTGAAGTCTATTTAATTCTTTGCTCTGTGCTAGTTTCACTTATTTGTGGAGAGCTATCCGTGTTTTATGTTCACATGAATTAACGGTAAGATTTTGGAAAGAGAATGGCAGTTAACGTTATTGGTCACGTATCGAATTGATAAACTTGTGTTTTCAAGCTACCACTAGCTAACTAGCCAATGCTAGTTAAAGCTTGTATTTCGCGAGAGGCGAAATTAAACGCAGATAGAGGGTTTTAACTGGGACTTAAAACTTTTCATTAACGTTAGTTGTACCAAGATTAATGGAAATATACGGATCGACGCCTAAACCGTGTTGCAGTGTCCATGCAAGTCTGTAATGATTGCAGTGTGGGCTTCGTAACGTTATTCTTCTCATATAACGTTAAGGTTAGCTAGCATTAGCGGCTAACGTTACTTTGCTTTGGATTTCTGGGTCAAACAGATACAGTTGCAGCTCAAATACTTGTTAGCCTCACATGGCTTGAGATCAGGATACGGGTGCCTAACATTACAGTTGAGTCGGAGCCTGACAACCCCCGTAATACCACTGGCAGCTGGACACATTACCAGTTGGAGGCAAAGGTCAGATTATTCAGAATGACAGCCTGCAGTATTTCTGCTACAGGCGATAATTAAAATGTTCGTGTGGCCTAACGTTACAAGACAATTGCTGAACACCAACAGAGCGGTTTGAAAGCTAAGTTAGACACAATGGTGGCGACATTTAAGAATAAAAGTCCATTGACGTTCACCGGGAAAATTGATTGCATGATTTTTACAGAGCCCTGACACATAGTCTAGACAAGCCATTTCTAATTCACTGTCCATTCTGTATTCTTCAAGCAGTTGATTGGTGCTGCTTAAAATGTGTTGATGCTTATTCTTCAATTTCAATCCAAATTACAAAAGCTTTAATTAAAATATGTAAATTATACTCTCTTAAGCTTATTATTTTTTCATAACAGATGCTGGCTGCTCTTTGTTATTGTTGACTGACTGATTTTGTAATTGAGATGATATAAAA